GTTGCTGGGGTTTTGTAGACGGGGCAGTACAGGATTTGTAGAAGGTGCAGGACAGAGGTTTTGTAGGAGGGGCGGGGCAGGACAAGGGTTTTGTAGGAGGGGCTGACAGCGGTTTTGCAAAGTTTACAAATTGTAAAAAAAATAAAATAAAGAAAACCTTTAACATTTTTTACAGGTTTTTTTTTTTTGGGTGGGGAGGGGGTGCCAAGCACAGGATCCGCCCCGGGTGCCAAATGCTCTAGGTACGCCTCTGCCCCCAGGCATCCCCTGGCGCTGACGGTGCACCACCTATGTATGTCACGTTTAACCCCTCACAAGCTGCCACCTTGGTTACCTCCCTCCCTGACCCAGAGAAACATCCGATGCCCTTCTTCCGTAGAATGGCTCAGATTCGCACAACCTACTCCGCTGCATGGAGGGATCTTTATAGTTTGTGTGAAATAAAAGCTGGTGATGCCTTCTGGCCAATAATGGCGAGGAGCTTCAGTGATGCTCCTCTTACCACTGATACAGACTTTCAGTCCGGTATTACGTTTTGTGAGCAACTCCGTGCTTGGGCACAAGACAAGCTAGCCGACCAGGCCACTTGTATAAATGACATTGTTCAGGACAAGCTTGAGTCAGTTGAGAAATATCATTCACGTCTAACCCAGACTTTTTCAGACTTAGGGTTTAGTACTTATAACAAAGCACACACCCAGATGTTGTCTGCAGCCTTTGTGGCTGGTCTGAAAGAACACATCCGCAAAGGTTTAATCCTATTACGCCCTGAGTATAGAATCATTCCCATTGACACCCTTTTGTTAGTTGCTAAAGGTCTAGAGTCAGTGTTACAAGCTACACAGAGGAGGGCTAGCCCACTGATGTTTACCACCACAACACCTATCGCAGGACCTGCCCATGCCACCCAAGGCTACGTGCCACAGACCCCTACTCCCTCACGAGACCGGACACCCACGGCAACCAGGACCTGTTATAATTGTCACCAAGTCGGCCACTTCTGGAGGGAATATCCCCACCCAAGGTTGTTTCGGCCACTACTTACCCCGGTTTTCTAACCCTTCAGCCGCTGCTTATGGATATTTCCCTCCAGGGTACTTTCAGCCACCACCCCCTCCCCCAGTGCCACATTTTCCGCCTCCTGAATATTCTCAGGCTCCACCACCACCTGCAGATGTTCGTGCTTACCCTCCAGCTCCTGCTGATGGGTTTGACACTGATGATTTTCAAGAGGGTCGGCCCATCCCTAGACAGAACCGTACAGCCCGCCCTGCCCTTCAGGCAGGCCTCCCTGCCACCTCCTCACGCCACTATACCGGCCCTGACCAGGCTCATTTAGATTTGTTGCAATAAGTAACCGGCAAGCCTGTGTCAGCTACCCCTGCCATGGCAGTGTCTACAGGGGATGGGGGTGGGCCACTAGCCACTGTAGTTCTACCCGTAGAGGGTCATCCCACTACATTCCTAGTTGACACAGGTGCAGCCCGTAGCGTTCTTAGAAAACAAGACCTGCCTGACCCATCCTTCCTGTCAGATACCGATGTCTCCTGTGTTGGAGTTGACGGTACCCCCCGTAATAACTCACTCACAAAACTCCTCCATGTGGGATCAGATATCCTCTCACGTTTTGTTGTTTCCTCCACGTGCCCCATTAACCTTTTGGGTGCTGATGTCCTGTCCCGGCTGCAAGCTTCCATTACCTTTACTGCAGAGGGCCAAGTTCAGTTAAATACACCCCTGTCACGGAAAGATACTTCAGTACTTTGTTCCCTCCCCATACTATTACATCTCGCATCTCCCACAGGGGAATCAAGGGTCCCTCATGCCCCCAATGCTCTGGACAAGATCCCTGCAAAGCTCTGGTCCACTGGCCGGGATGATATTGGACGCCTTAAAGTTCCCCCCGTTGTGGTCACACTACTGCCAGGAGTGGCCCCTCCCCAAAGACCCCAATATCCACTGAAACCCGCCCAGGCCCTCGCCATTTGCAAGCAAGTGGAAAGCCTCCTTGCAAAAGGTGCCCTTGTCAAGTGTGTGTTACCATGCAATACTTCCCTCTTCCCTGTCCAGAAGAAAACTGAAAAGGAGCAACCTGATCAGTACCGTATGGTTCAGGATTTACGTGCTGTTAACGAAGTGACTGTCAAAGATACTGCAATTGTTCCAAATCCACATACTCTACTGTCCCAGGTTCCACCCACTGCTACAGTTTTTACTGTTGTGGATCTTGCCAATGCATTTTTCAGTGTGCCTCTTGACCCGTCCTGTCAACACCTCTTTGCCTTTACCCACGGTCAGCAATACACTTGGACTGTCATGCCTCAGGGAGCTCAAAACTCCCCCACTCAGTTTGCCCGCGCCATGTCAATGGTTCTGGAACCCTGGCAAAAGGCTCATTCAGATGTAGTCTTACACCCAGACTTACTCCCGGACTGGGAATTAAAAGCAGCCCTGGAAAAAAAATATTTACCAGCCCCATAATGCGTCGCGCCAGCATAGTGTGCAGACACAGAGTTAGAAAAGAGAACTTAAAATTAAAAATTATTACTCCAACGTAAAAAAAAAGCGCACTCATAGGCTTTAAAATAAACAAAAGTGCAGATTTATTTTAAGCAGACGTGCCTTTGCATGTAATCAATGTTTCAGTCCAACTACCTTGACATATTAAGGAAAGCTTGGTAATGGGACTGAAATGGTGAATGTACGTAGGGCACAACTGTAAAAAAATGACGTTATCTTGTTTATTTTGAAGTCCTGTGGGTGCGCTCTTCACTTTAAACATGTTATTGTGATGGAGTCTGCATCTAGCAACAAGATTGGGACAATATCTGCTCATTACAAATGGTACATATTAATTACATTTATCTGTGTGTTATGCATATATAAATGTACATTAATATATGTGTAAATATAATAGGCATACATATATATATATATATATAAATAAAACTAATACACATTAATATACATGTCATATACCAGTGGTGGATCCAGAGCCTGATCCCGGGAGGGGCACTTGTAGATCATTTAAAGAAATAATCCATGCACAATAACCACTACTGCTCTCTGTAGTGGTTATGGTGCCAGGAGTGCCGGGACCCCCTTCCAGAGTAAGTAGTCAAACCGTTTAAGAACAGTTTGACAACTTATCTGGGGTCTGCTGGGATATGGGGCTGTAGTAGGGTATAGGAGCAGTGGTGCAATGTGTGAGTGGTGCAGTGTGTGTGAAAGGTTCAGTGTATGTGTGTGAGGGGGGTGTAGTGTGTGAATGTGTAGGGTGTGTGGGGCAATGTGTGTATGTGGCAATGTGTGTATGGAGGGCAGTGTGTGAATATGTATGGTGTGTGTGGGGGCAGTGTGTGTATGGGGGGCACTGTGTGCCGCACGGTGCCTGTGGAACGGGGAGGGAGATTGGCTGGCAGGGGAGAGCCTCGTGGGGGGGAATTGCCCTGTTGCCTTGTGCGTCTCTCTCCTTTCCCCCTCTGCCTCTTTCTCCCCCTCCCCTTGTGCGTCTCTCTGATAATACTGTATTCATACTCTGATAATACTCCTAACAATCCCTCCATGACATTGATAATACTGTATTCATACTCTGATACTACTCTAACAATCCCTCCATGACTCTGATAATACTGTATTCATACTCTGATAATACTCCTAACAATACCTCCATGACTCTGATAATACTGTATTCATACTCTGATAATACTCCTAACAATCCCTCCATGACTCTGATAATACTGTATTCATACTCTGATAATACTCCTAACAATCCCTCCATTACTCTGATAATACTGTATTCATACTCTGATAATACTCTAACAATCCCTCCATTACTCTGATAATACTGTATTCATACTCTGATAATACTCTAACAATCCCTCCATGACTCTGATAATACTGTATTCATACTCTGATAATACTCTAACAATCCCTCCATGACTCTGATAATACTGTATTCATACTCTGATAATACTCTAACAATCCCTCCATGACTCTGATAATACTGTATTCATACTCTGATACTACTCTAACAATCCCTCCATGACTCTGATAATACTGTATTAATACTCGGATAATACTCTAACAATCCCTCCATACTCTGATAATACTGTATTAATACTCGGATAATACTCTGACAATACCTCCATTACTCTGATAATACTGTATTAATACTCTGATAATACTCTAAAAATACCTCCATGACATTGATAATACTGTATTAATACTCGGATAATACTCTAACAATCCCTCCATGACTCTGATAATACTCTGACAATCCCTCCATTACTCTGATAATACTGTATTAATACTCTGATAATACTCTAACAATCCCTCCATGACATTGATAATACTGTATTAATACTCGGATAATACTCTAAAAATACCTCCATTACTCTGATAATACTGTATTAATACACTGATAATACTCTAACAATCCCTCCATGACTCTGATAATACTGTATTAATACACTGATAATACTCTAACAATACCTCCATGACTCTGATAATACTGTATCAATACTCTGATAATACTCTAACAATACCTCCATTACTCTGATAATACTGTATTCATACTCTGATAATACTCTAACAATCCCTCCATTACTCTGATAATACTGTATTAATACTCTGATAATACTCTAACAATCCCTCCATGACATTGATAATACTGTATTCATACTCTGATAATACTCTGACAATCCCTCCATTACTCTGATAATACTGTATTAATACTCTGATACTACTCTAACAATCCCTCCATGACTCTGATAATACTGTATTAATACTCGGATAATACTGTATTAATACTCTGATAATACTGTATTAATACTCTGATAATACCCGTCCCCCTTCCCCAAGCCTAATACAAACTGCGCCACTGCCTATAGCGCCCTGGGGCTTCAGCCAATTAAAGCTGTCCGCGAATTCTGCCGGACAGCCAATCAGCAAGATGCCGGCGGAGCTTGTTTCCATGGCATCGGGACCAGCACTAGTCAGTGGGCGTGGCCATGTTGTTTTGGTTCTGGGTGAGGCTAAGAAAAACTGCAAGACCTGTGGTTAGCCACACCCACTTCATCCCTGGAGCCACGCCCACTTCATCCCTGGATCTCAGTGCGAAGGACCGAGTGCCAGGCCAACCACCGGACACGGAGCGCGGCAGCGGCACCCCGGCCATGACGTCACTGTGTGGGACCTCATTCAGGGTGAGTGCCACTCCCAGCATCCTCAGGCAGGCTCCCCTACCGGCTGCACTGCCACTCCCAGCATCCTCATGTAAGGGGTGCATTCTGACTTGCCTGTCACAGACAGTTTGTAGGCTGTATCGAAGAACCCAATAAGATTATACTGTACATGTACAGACACCCCCACTTAGCTCCATGTTACCAGTCTCTGCCAGCTCCTGGATATGTGGCTCGCATTGCTTTCTGGGAGTTGTAGTGTGCTAATAGCTGGAGGTAGCTGTATAGGTAGAGCTCTGCCCTGCCAGCTGTATAGATAGAGCTCTGCCCTGCCAGCTGTATAGATAGAGCTCTGCCCTGCCAGCTGTATAGGTAGAGCTCTGCCCTGCCAGCTGTGTAGATAGTGCTCTGCCCTGCCAGCTGTATAGGCGCCTGCCAGCTGTGTAGATAGAGCTCTGCCCTGCCAGCTGTGTAGATAGAGCTCTGCCCTGCCAGCTGTGTAGATAGAGCTCTGCCCTGCCAGCTGTGTAGATAGAGATCTGCCCTGCCAGCTGTATAGATAGAGCTCTGCCCTGCCAGCTGTATAGATAGAGTTCTGCCCTGCCAGCTGTATAGGTAGAGCTCTGCCCTGCCAGCTGTGTAGATAGAGCTCTGCCCTGCCAGCTGTGTAGATAGAGCTCTGCGCTGCCAGCTGTGTAGATAGAGCTCTGCGCTGCCAGCTGTGTAGATAGAGCTCTAGAGCTCCCTGCCAGCTGTGTAGATAGAGCTCTGCCCCGCCAGCTGTGTAGAAAGAGCTCTGCCCCGCCAGCTGTGTAGAAAGAGCTCTGCCCCGCCAGCTGTGTAGAAAGAGCTCTGCCCCGCCAGCTGTGTAGAAAGAGCTCTGTGCCGCCAGCTGTGTAGATAGAGTTCTGCCCTGCCAGCTGTATAGGTAGAGCTCTAACCTGCCACTGTATAGGTAGAGCTCTGCCCTGCCAGCTGTATAGGTAGAGCTCTGCCCTGCCAGCTGTATAGGTAGAGCTCTGCCCTGCCAGCTGTATAGATATAACTCTGCCCTGCAAACTGTATATAGAGTAATGTATTGGTGATATGCACATCTTGAACATTTACCAATTTGTCTATCAGTCTGTGGAGGTGATCGTTAAACCCAGTACCCTTACCCCAATTAATGGCACCATTTTCGCTTAAACCTGACCTATTCCTGATGACTAGCGGCATCATGGCACACAGGTACCACAAACACTACACAGAACATGCCACCCTAACTCTTGCCTAAGGATGGCTTCTTATAACCATTTGTGACTTGTTACGGTAAAACAGGTGCTGTTATGGGGCAAATAAGAAACAATCACCATTTAGTCACATGGTAGAATGTTTCAATATTTAGTACTTTGTCCCAGAATAGTACCTCTATCTGCCCAACAAGTAAAGCAAGTTTGGAGTGTGTGGATATGAGAAGGCCAGGGTGCTTCCGTTCTGCTGCGAAGGGGTGAGTTCCACACCAAACCAACATTTGGATCCTTTATAATGGACAAATGGTAGGAGCCTTTAACCTATTCCTTACTAGCCTTGGGAATTTCTCCAACCTGTTGGACTGGTATTTTGTGTGTATGATGATGTATCTTGGTGGATGCAGAAATGAATAGATTCCATTTACAGTGTAACTGTCTGAGTTCAGAGCTCACCTGCCCTTCTGGTTTAATGTAATGAAACGTCACTTTATACAAATTAGACGACTGGTGGCTACTGTGGAATGATTAAATAGGACAGCAGTCTTTTCAATTATCCATGACGCAAGGACAAACTCTGAATAGAAATTCAATATCCCTTTTCCTCGGCAATGAAAGGATTCGGATCATCTCAGATTTGTAAAAGGAGTTTGACCTTTTTCTAATCCCGAACTGTTTGTGCCATCTCAGATTACTGTGTCACCATTTCCCGTGTAATCTGTGATGGTGATTATGTTCCTTTTATGATTACACAAGGCTGTGGTATCATTCCTTTCTGATCTCTTATTATGGATTAGGGTAGACTAAACTCACACAGGGTTATCTACTGCGGGGGGGAGGGGGTACTCTTGTAATAATGTATTTTTTATGTATAGAAACAGAATGTGACTGCAGATAAGAACCATTCGGCCCATCTAGTCTGCCCAATTTTCTAAATACTTTCATTAGTCCCTAGTCTTATCTTATAGTTAGGATAGCCTTATGCCTATCCCATGCATGCTTAAACTCCTTTACTGTGTTAAAAATATTGGCTTATTTAGAGAAGCTAGTAAACTAAAGCCGAGTTTGAGAATATTTTGAAAACATCACTTTTTGTCTACATATTTATCTTGATACAATTCATCATCTGGTGAATAAATTCTTCATTGGAACTATGTAAACGAAATCACTCATGCCGTTTATCGATAGCACACTCTTCTAAATGAAAATTAACAGCTCCTGGGGATGCCGGGAACCCCGGGCCTCATACATGCAAAGCATGCGCTCTACCACCGAGCTACATCCCCATATACATAAACAAGTACATATTTAGCAATGTGAATTAAACAATAAAACAGGTGTATATGTACGATCACTGTATAACCTAGTCTTTACACCACATACAGGGACGTGATTCTCCTTTAGGTGCTAAGTGCGTATTTTCATTAAACCTATATTATTTCTTAGCAGTTCTCTTCAGCATGAACAACCTGTTTGAAAATGGTGCCGCATTTTGACTTTATCCATGTTTCTTAATGTTGTGACTATATGTAAGAGCAATTCCAAAGCAAATTGCTAGAATTGGAGCAGTCGCCATGGAAACCGATAGAATGTTCTCGCCAACTTCTCCACTTTTAGTGAAATGTTTCTATATCTATTGATCTATATATTCCCTAACATTCACTTTGTGGATATTTCCCTTTAGGTACAACGGAGGAAGGTTATATTTCTGAACGCCTGCATTCTACTAATAAGTACGCTGATTACTGTACAATCTGTACCAATAGACAAGAGCAAGGTGGCAGAAGAAAATCCCACAAGTGGACAGCCTGCTCAGTCTTCAGTAGGTATCATTACATTTACACTGGGTGATAGAACTCAACATCGTATGTTATTTGTTTGATGCTTGTAACCCAATAAAAGAAAAGTTTTAGTAGGACTACATGAAAAATAAAATAAAAAAAATGATGCTGTGATCAGACACTTTTCTCCTCTCACCCCTCCCCTTCCCCCCAACTACAGGAACCGCACTCTTTTTTCTTTTTTTTATAATCTTCTCTTAACTCTGCTCCTTAGTCCCTAACCCCTTTTCCCACTTTTATCACACTGTGCCAACTCAAAGAATATTTAATCTGTTTATACCTCTGACCATGTGGTATGGCTTTACACTGTGTTGGAACGCACTTCACTGTTTATAGCCCTGGCTAATTTTGTTTTCTGACCCTCTACCTTCCTGCATTGTGCATGTTAGTATTTGCACACCCATGAACTTATTTCTACTCATCTTGGTTCTGCCGTTGCACAGCATTAAACAGGAACCAACCTGAAACTGTATTTTCATCTTGTTAAAACCTGTTTCCTCATAGACCTACAGACAGGCCTGAAACTATGAGAAATTGATCATTTTAGGCTACCTTTACCTTTGTAAATAGACAAATGGGATGGTTAAGCAGATCAATAAATTCTGTTTATTGAGTTTTATTTTCTGGATAGTTTTTCTGTATTATTTACGTAAAATGACAAACGGATTTAAAAAAACTAAAATATTAAATGAGTTTGGACATATAACTCATTTTGCCCACTATCTAGTGATGGCTAAACTTAGCAGTGGAATATCATGGGAATTGTATGGTTAGTCCTCACTGCCCAAGGCTTTTGCCATGTCCCAGAGTGTTTTAAAAGTACTCTTGAATATCCTTTCACCCTATAGGAACATTTACTAAAATTGGGAAGATTAGTCTGTTTAACCACCAATTCTCCAAACTCTGCGTGGTGATCATACATTGCTTTCTCTTCTATTTCATATAGAAGCCTCATGCTTTTCAGTATCTTAATGATATCATATAAAATCAGGGGGCTAACAGCAGTCTGCCCTTTTGGGCAATACTGGATCGTGAGTACCGGCCACAAACGGTACTCTAGATTGTAAGCTCTCTTGATCAGGGCACTCATTGTCTTTTGTTACTTTTAACACATGCAGGGTTATTGGCTAAAGTGAATTTCAATTTTAAAGGACCACTCAAGGCACCCAGACCACTTCAGCTTAATGAAGTGGTCTGGGTGCCAGGTCCTTCTAGGGTTAACCCATTTTTTCATAAACATAGCAGTTTCAGAGAAACTGCTATGTTTATCAATGGGTTAAGCCTTCCCATATTTCCTCTAGCGGCTGTCTCATTGACAGCCACTAGAGGCGCTTGCGTGCTTCTCACTGTGATTTTCACAGTGAGAGCACGCCAGCGTCTATAGGAAAGCATTATGAATGCTTTATGTGACCGGCTGAATGCGCGCGCAGCTCTTGCCGCGCGGGCGCATTCAGCCGACGGGGAGGAGGAGAAGAGGATCGGAGGAGGAGAGCTCCCCGCCCAGCGCTGGAAAAAGGTAAGTTTTTACCCCTTTCCAGAGCCGGGCAGGAGGGGGTCCCTGAGGGTGGGGGCACCCTCAGGGCACTATAGTGCCAGGAAAACAAGTATGTTTTCCTGGCACTATAGTGGTCCTTTAAGGCTTCTCTGTTACCAAAAATAAACATCATCTAACCAGCTTCTATATGTGGCTGAATCTTATTTTATATTTTCCCTGAGTGCTCGGGTTTCCATGAAATACATAAAGAACTGTAGTGACTACTACTATTTGTAAAGCTGTCATATTAACAAAACTTGGCAACGGGCGGATCTTAAAGCAAGGTTCTGTTTCAATTACCAGTCATATTTACCCACAATCCAGTAAATCAATCCGACACAGGGGAATCTGCAGGCATCATGTGCAGAAAGAACGAAAGATAATAAATATAAAGGGAAGCGGCAGTAAGCATAGTGTAATCATTGAAGCGGCACTCTCACTCCAAACTTACCTTTCTTCTATTGTTTCCTCTTCTCTTCCTCTCTCACAGCCTGTTCTTCTTTTCATAACTTCTGATCTAGTTTTCTTTAAAACATAAGACAAAGTAGGGGGGACTACTTTTGTCTTGTGTAGTTTCCTGCGCCTGACATTCTCTGACCCAAGGTGGAGCTTAAGTCTGTTCCATTTCCTGTGTCAAAGAAAGATTTCCCACAATACTCAGCCTCCTCCTTGACATAGAAAATGGAACTGACTTTAGCTCCTTCTTGTGTCAGAGAATGTCAGGCATAGGAAAAATACACAAGGCAAAGAGGAAGAGGAAACAATAGGGAAAAGGTTAATTCGGCGTGACAGTGCCGCGTTAAAGGATTGTGGGGATATTTATGGGATAATAATAGTAAACGGTTGAGAATTGCCCACTATTTCAATTCTCAGATCCCAAAGAACGTTTATCGTGTTAAGTGTGAAGTATTTCATATAAATAATATTCACAATGTATAAAAATAGATTTTATTTATAATAATAATATTATGTAACATGCGTGACAATAATCAATGAATATTCAGTATAAAATGATATGCAATACAAAGGAACGGGTATTACGTTTCAATGGCTAAATAGCATTATCTGTCAAGACTTATTTATGACTATCTTTAACACAGACTGAAAGTGAAACTTTTCACAGCTAAGAACAGAATTCCTCAGAGTGCAGCGTAAGGTCGTAAAGTTTAGCAGACAGTTAGAATAACCCTTTCAATGCTGGCTAGATCTCCTAGGTAGTTAAGATCTATTCTTATGTAATTTTAAATAAAATAACATTTAAACCAGTTCATTAGTCATTTCCTGGAACCATCAAATAAGAGAATCTACCATATTATATAAGCAGATTTTAATTTGTCTAAAAGATATCTTATCTTAATTTAGAGCAAATCAATACACCTGGATAAAAACAACGGTATGCTAACACGTGATAATATCACATCAATATATAATTATTCTTAATTCCACCTGCAGAATGGAATATTTATAACTATATATTCTTTAGTTAACTAAGATTTCTTAATATGGAAATCTGACCGTGCTTTATCCTAGTCATATATCATGCTATTAATACATTTTAATTAATTTAATTTAATTAAATGAAACCAGTATAATTACCAGTTGAGTAGATATTTCATCCGATTGGTAGTCTCAGGAACTTATTTGGATGTCTCTCTGCATGGAGGTGTTGGTTAGAAAGTCAGTAAATTCTAAGTGTTAGAGTTTTAGGAGTAGAGTGTTAGTCTCAGATGTTGTCCGAGTTGGAATCCCCAAACTTCCAATTCCTCTCTTCTCTCCTTTTTCTTTCTCCTTTGCATATCCTGCCTACCCTGCATATATCTCTATCTTCCCTTTGTCTTAACTTTTAAAGGGCCAGACTCTCTGTACGTCATCAGTTGATAACCCAATAGAAGCACTAGAGGTGTGGTTATCTTCCAGATCGCAATTTAGTTATTTGGTCTATAGAGGGCAGTCTTGTCCTACTAAACATACCTATCCAGGAAAGAGTTAACTTTTCCTGGTGGCTATTTTGACGTCATTTTGCGTTATCTTTATAGTGCCATAATTTAAATTTTGTCCAGACTATGTGTCAGGCAAATCTGCTATAATTTCTGATATGGCAGATCATGAACTAAGTTTACCCTTTTCCATACAATGGTACCTTATATGTATATAGACAGTAAAATTAAATTATTTAATCTTCTCTGTCACAATTGTCTGGGTTTAGATTTGATTATATTCTTCTTATCACTTGTTTATACCATGCATGCATTCCTTAGCTCTGGCAAAATGGCTAGTCTTACAGAAAGAAATCTTGTGTTTTTTTTTTTTTTTGTTATAACAAAATGGAGTCTGCTCTGTTCAGAGTGACTCAGAATATACACTTTTAGTTTCTATCATAGCACAAAATGTCTGCCGATATAAATACTCTGACAGGATCACTACAGTGTCAGAAAAACTAAGTGCCCTGAGGGTGCCCCCACCATCAGGGTCCCCCTCCCGTGGCGCTGAAGGGGTTAAAAACCCCTTCAGCAGCTTACCTTATTCCAGTGCCGGGCTCCCTCGGCACTGGTGACCTCTTCTCCCCTGCCGACGTCAGCGGAGCCGAATGTGCATGCGTGGCAAGTGCCGCGCGTGCATTCAGAGTATCCACAGGAAAGCATTTTTCAATGCTTTCCTATGGACGCTCTGCATGATGGAGGCATTAAATGCCTCCAACGTCGCAGATGCGCCTCTAGTGGCTGTCTGGAAGACAGCCACTAGAGGCTGGCTTAGCCCTGCAATGTAAACATAGCAGTTTCTCTGAAACTGCTAAGTTTGCATCTGCAGGGTTTAAACCTGAGGGACCTGGCACCGAGACCACTTAATTGAGCTGAAGTGGTCTGGGTGACTATAGTGTCCCTTTAATATTACAGAGGCATGAGGAAAAGAAAGCCAAGAGAAATAGTTGAATTGGAAAAATATTCTAGTTTAGCCATTTAGGTCTAAAATGGTCAAATTCACTTTAAATTCTCACTTTAATAAAAATTTAGTTTTCCTGTTTCTGCCTTAATCTAAAATTGTAAATGCCTGCAGAAAATGATAGCAGTGTAATACTGGTTCAATCTCCCCTACAGTTCCATTTCTTCTTCATTTCTTTAAAAATCATTTTTTGTTTTTTTGTTTTGTTTGGTTAACTGTGCAATTCCAGACATACAAATAAAAAGTTATTGGTACAATTAAGCACATTCCTGAATAGTAGAAGTCTAATATCTCATGTGGATACAAGGAATCACCTAATGTCCCAATTCCATTTCTGAGCAGAGAGTTCATGAATATCACATATCATCCTTCTTATCCTCAAATACTTCAATCTTACATGGTTGGTCACTACAGCCAATGATTTTTAAATGCCGACGTGTGGGCATAGTTCTCAAAATTGATCAGCGTTTAGATTCAGCATCTGAATAGACAAGAATGTCATCCGGATTTCAGCTTGTCTGAATCCAACCATTCTGCTGATGCTAAATATCTGGCCTTATACCATTGGCAGTGAGTGGGTTAGCTAATGTGGCAAGTGCCCTGCTCCTGCCAGCCACAGTGTATTTTAAATTATTATTCTAAAAGTGCTGATTACAGTCGAATTCGGTGTGTGCAGTAGCGCAGATTCTAGATATGTGGCTACTGCAAGCCAAACTTTCATTACCCCCAAAGAAATACAGTAAAACAGACTATATGTTTATATGTTTATTTTCTTTGTAGTTATACCATTAACCCTTAAGGACGGCGGGCGTTCTATGCCGTCCTTAAGGAACTGGCTCTAAACGCCGGAGGGCGGCATAGAACGCCCAAACCGTCCTTTCTAATTCTACTTTCTGTCGCAGTATGGGGACTCACCTGGGAGCCCAGGGAGTCCCCCTCCGTCCTATTTGGACCCCCCTGGGCCATGTGATCGCAAGGTCCTTGCGAGAACCTCGTGATCACATGGACGGCATAGCCGTCCATGGCATTGCCAGCAGGGGGAGTGCCTGGAATGACAGGTACTCCCCCTGCTGTCTGAAAAAAAATAATAATTCAAGTTTAAAACAGTGTAAAATAACATTATATATACATAGATCATATATATATATATATATATATATATACATATATATATATATATATACACATACATACATATATATACACACACATACATACATACATACACTGTCTACGTGTATTTTAATATTAATATATATAATTATAAATATATATTATCAAAATACACGTGTATATATATAATCAATATCATTGTACGTGTATTTTGATAATATATATTTATATTATCAAATATATATATATATATATATATATATATATAATCTGTTAATACGTAAAATAAATAAATGAAAAAAATAATAAAATAAATGTTAATTCGTTCTAACTGTATTTTAACATGATATATATATATATATATATATATATATATATATCTATATATCTCAAAATGTGTATGTATATTTATTTATGTAATAATTTTACATAATTAGGTAATTTTATTAATTACAATTAGCAGGGACAGCCTGACAACCCAACACAACTCGTCCATTTGTTTGGGACAGAACCCCTTCTGTATGGGTACCTGCACAAATAAACATCTCTACATATTCCAAATACCAACCCATCCAAGAGATGGTCAGTTCCCGATTTACCTGGAATCCCTGAATCTGACCATTACAGATACATCATCATACATATATATGCCTTGCTTCCCCAATGTGCTGGGATCATACGTGCAGGGTTAACATCTTGTGTGTCATAAGAATTGATTGTACCAGGTAACCGAGTTTCGGTTGGTGCTGGTTGTACAGTAACGTGAGGCCCAGCCTTGTGAGGGCTGTGGTGACCAACTCGAGATTGCCAGTCTGTCATAAAATTTTTTGGCTCATGAGTTTATGAGTGAGGCTAGCATAGCCTGGGTGTCACCTGAGTTGATGTAGCTGGGCCTTCCCCTGCCTCCGTGTTGTCCGTTGATGTATGGAGGAGTTTGAATAACTCTGCTTTCCTTGCTGTAGCAGGGTAGGGGATTTGTCACCTCCTTAGGTCGGTGGTAATGTGTGGGATCGTCCAGGATCTGATTGCTGCAGGACTAGCAACATCTCCTCTGCTTGAAGGTGTATCAATTCTAGCCAGGGTGCTAGGAAGAGGTGATTCTTCACCATCTTTTGGAGAAATACTTAAATAACAATAAAGATGCAATTATTTGTACCCAGGGTTCTTGTACTGGCTTGCTAGCTAAGCCGTAAGGCGAAACGATTAGGCTTGGTGTTTTTTGGTGACTGGTGAGGCCCTGCTAGTTGCCAAGTGGCTTGAGAGGCTCTATCTATGCTTGGCGCGAGGGGATTTTGTGTGGCCACCGAACATTGTGGCAGGATGTTGGCCTCTCGGTGACAGTAACCAGAAAATAGGAAGGGGAGTGACAGGTGAGGCCCTCTCTATGATACAATGCGAGGCGGCTAGCTCACGAGTGGCCCGAGGGGTGTATGCCTCCGAGTGTGAGGCGGGGTGTTGGCCTCGCGGGACCACTAACCGAAGCATAATGCAGAGAAAAAAGGGGGTAATACCTATTGGGCCCTAGAACCCTAATTGCCAGTACACTATTACTATTCCAGGGAAGGTAAGAGATGGATAACTACGTGAGCAGGTGTATGTACCTGGTAGTATGGTATTGAACCTGACAATCCGTATAGGTTTTTTAGTAGTAACTGTAACCTGAATGGATAAAACCGTATGGAATAAGGAAATATGGCATAGACCAAGCTTATCTTAATACGTACAGTATATGTGAAAAGTAAAGTGCCATGATGTGTAAATATTAAACATCGTAGCCATACTGGTTAAATATGTATCAATCTTAACCCATTAAGTGCCGTATGTACAAGTGAAAATGTGGTCTGTCCCCACCTTGTATGTTGTATGTCCCCTTGCTAGGGGAAAGTCTGTTGCGTGAGCAGCGTGCTGTGAAAAATGTATGTGAACTATATTACCAGTTACGTATATACAGACGCGTCTGCTACTGTGTAATAATATATGTATTTATACCTGATGTTGATATAGTGCTTGCTATGAGAATTGTTGTATGTCTTATTGAATGGTAGGGGTCAGTGAACATGGTGTTGCAAAATGCAAGTGCACTGGAGATCTGCCGAGTGCCCTATAGGTGGCAGTGTAGTTGGATACTGATTGGTATGTGAAATGTTGTTTGTCTGTTGACCTATAGGTGTAAGTGTTTTGGTGTTTGTAAAACCCCATGAAAATTGTCAATGTACTTGACAGACCTGTAGGTGGCAGTGTTGATAGAACCACTGTTGGTCTTGATGTGAAATGTAAATTATTGTGAATTAAACCTGAATTTGAGCCCGTGCTGGAGTTTCATTTATGGTTTATGGTTATGTTTAACCCCGTAAGGACCAAACTTCTGGAATAAAAGGGAATCATGACACGTCACACATGTCTTGTGTCCTTAAGGGGTTAAAACAATCTTATGTGTAATTTATATTGGCTGGTAAATTGTATATGACATGTGAAGACAGTTTTGCTGTTGACCAGTAGGGGTCATAAATGCTGATTGTATGGTAAAAATACCCTTTAACCCCTTAAGGACCAAACTTCTGGAATAAAAGGGAATCATGACATGTCACACATGTCATGTGTCCCTAAGGGGTTAATCCTACCGTTTGACAGATAGGAGTCAGTATAAAAGCGAAAATGCTGTAGTTAGTTTGTTTGCTTATGAAGTGAAATAAAGTCTGAGAAGACTGTAGTATACCGATTGACCGGTAGGGGTCAGCATGTAGGCGAAAATGCCGTGGTTCGTTGGTTTGTACATGAAATGCAATAATGTCTGAGAAGCCTGTAGTACACAGAATGACTGGTAGGTGTCAGTGTGTAGGTGAAAATGCAGTGGTTTATTGTTTTGTACATGAAAAGCAATAATGTCTAAGAAGCCTGTAGTTCACCGAATGACTGATAGGGGTCAGTGTGTAGGTGAAAAATTAAGTGGTTTGTTGGTTTGTACCTGAAATGCAATAATGTCGGAGAAGCCTGTAGTACACAGAATGAACGGTAGGGGTCAGTGTGTAGGCGCAAATGCAGTGGTTCGTTGATTTGTACATGAAATGCGATAATGTCTAAGAAGCCTGTAGTCCACCGAAAGACCAGTAGGGGTCAGTGTGAAGGTGTAAATGCAGTGGTTTATTGGTTTGTACATGAAAATGCAAACAACGCCTAAGAAGCCTGTAGTACACCGAATGACCAATAGGGGTCAGTGTGTAGGTGAAAAATGCGGTGGTTCGTTGGTTTGTACATGAGATGCAATAATGTCTGAGAAGCCTGTAGTACACCGAATGACCGGTAGGGGTCAGTGTGTAGGCAAAGATGCAGTTGTTCGTTGGTTTGTACATGAAATGCGATAATGTCTAAGAAGTCTGTAGTACACCCAAAGACCAGTAGGGGGTTTAAACCAATGATATGCATGAACATGCAATGGTTTTAGAACAGACTTAGACAAAATGCAGCAGTAAAGTGAGGACCTGACCCTTGCATGGTGCCGTGGGACTGATGCCTGGCGTAATGGGTAGGTCAACTTACGGTTTGTGAGTCACTTGGACACCATCCACAGCGATAGATTGAAGAAAGAAGGTGGTAGGCCGGAAAAGCCTGTGGCTGGATTCCTGACACAGCTCAGCTTAGAAAACCTCATGGAGTAATCAGGTAAAATGGCGTCTGGATGACCCGGAAGTGGAAATCATTCTGATGCTGACCTCAAGCGATATGAGTCAGGTAAGGGGTGTCCCTTATATAGGGGAGTGAATTAATTTAAGCCCCTCCCACAAATACAGGCAAAACTGCCTTAATACATATATATATCTATATATCTCAAAATGTGTATGTATATTTATTTATGTAATAATTTTACATAATTAGGTAATTTTATTAATTACAATTAGCAGGGACAGCCTGACAACCCAGGCCAAAAGTCCAGGGAATTTAATTTGCTAGCACTATATTTAACCCTGTTACTTTCCAAGACACCATAAAACCTGTACATGGGGGTACTCTTTTACTCAGAAGACTTCGCTGAACACAAATATTAGTGTTTCAAAACAGTAACATGTTTTACAACGACGATATTGTCAGTGAAAGTGACATTTTTTGCATTTTTCACACCCAAATGGCACTTACATGGACAATATAATTGCTGTGATACATTTTACGGTTTTGTAATATTGTGTTCAGCGAAGTCTCCCGAGTATAACAGTACCCCTCATGTACAGGTTTTATGGTGTTTTCCAAAGGTAGAGAGTCAAATATAAGGCTTATGAAAAAATGTAACATGCTATATTTGACCCTGTAACTTCCCAAAACATAAAACCTGTACATAGGGGTTACTGTTTTACACATGAAACATCGCTGAATGCAAATGTGTGTGTTATTGCAGTAAAATCAAACAGTATTATGACATTCACAGTTAAAATGTCACGTAGAACTTAACATTTTTAAAAAATTCTTATTTTCTCCCATTTTTAAAAATATTTTATTCATATTAAATTATGTTTTATACCTAAATATTTGATGTTAAATGAAAGCCCTGTTTCCCCTGAATAAAATGATATATAATAAGTGTGGGTGCACATAATATGAAAGAGGTGAATTACACCTGAACAGACAAATAGCGCAAATTCAAGTTTTTGTTTACGTTTTGTTTCGATCACAGTGTGTACATTTGGCTCAGTCCTTAAGGGGTTAAATGCTTTTTTTTTTCCCCTTTAAAAATACTAGTAACTGGGCAGCTATGACAATTCTTATATGCAACCCTTGTAAAAACAAAACAAAAAAAAAACTACGTTGCTGAATTAGAAAATGTGATCTGATAAATTATAGCAAAATGTATTTTTCCACGGACGTTCCCACTTTTTTTTTCTCTACGCATACAAATCTTGAGATTGACCAGCAGAGCACATCCAGGCAACCAATTATCAACCACTAAAAGCCTCTTCGCTGAATGTTCCATCCATTAGCTTTGTTTCCTATCAGATAGAAATTATCCACTTCAAGTCACACTACTGTATTGTTGTGACCAGTTTCAGTAGAAATGATTTGCTTGTAGCCTTGTCTAAATGAATGGAACTATATTTGGAGCAGGTTTTTTTAGTGTTAATTGAGGCAAAGTTATAAACACTGATTCTGTATTCGTGTTCTGGAAAACTTTATTATATTAACCTACCTCTACATGCAACACGTATCCGATCCCCTTGCTAGTTATTCCTGGAATGCCTCCTGGACCATATTTCTTTATAAAAAGATAATTTACCGTTCATACTATAAAATTGTTTTTTCATTCTATCTTGGGAGTGTAATTTGGCTGGTTATTTTAGTCCAGGTGGGTGGCTCAGGATTTAACCAATCTCTAGCCATACATATTTGAATTGCTAACAGTATATTTACAATTAAGTATTTGTTTGGCTTAATTACAGGGAGATCCAAATTAAAAAGCCAAGTTTGTGATTCAAGCTTAAAGTTTCTCCGCAATAATTTGGATATTTTTTTATATTTTAGTTTCTGTTATTGATTTTAATTCCTGAATTTTTTTGACACTTCCACCATACATGTAGTAGTGTGCCTTGTGTATAAGAACACATCCAGCATTCCCCTTTCTTTAATTTGTTAAATTTGCTTACACGCCACGGACCATATACCAACGATTTATTAACTCCTGGAGATTTATAGAATGTACACATTTTTTAGCCATCACCCAATATTCTATCCATTTCTCGAAAGGTATACAAGCCTCCAAATCTCTTTTTTTCTATTTCTTCATAGATAACAATTTTAACGTTTGTTAATTTTTTTTTAAATTCAGAATTTTTAACTTTGAGATAATTTTAGTACTGGGAGCTTTTGGTATGAGCTCATCAAGTTTAGTTGTAGGAGCAACCACCTTGTCTTTTAAGAAGTTTTTAAATCTGAGATAAGTAAATATATTGCTGTTAGTTAGATCCATTTCTTTTTTTAAATCTTGAAAAGGCAGTATCACTCCTAACGGGCAAACAGCCTCTAAATTTTCAACTCCTTTACCAATCCAGCTTGATAGATCTAAATCTTTAACATAATAATTCAGGACAATTAATAGAGTATCCAGAGATAAATAATATTTACAGCCCATCTCTGCTCTCAACCTTGCCCCCGTCTTAATTGCATCTAAAAAAGTGGGATTTAATAACTTCAGTCTTCTGGCCTGTGAAGGCTTAATCCAGTATATATGAGGAGGCAATATTTTCCCCATCTGATAACTTTCACAGTGAAACCACCCTTTTAACTTATTTTGTTCCAGACCCCATGCCACCAAGTGTGAAAACATAGTTACATCATGCAAAACAGCAGTGGAACATTTTTTTTGGTTCCTACGGTAGTTGCTACACTTTTAGAACTTCACTCCATAATTGTTTTATTTATATATACCACCAATAAATCCCTAACTTATATAGTTTATTGCAAGCTATGTTGTGTTTCTTGGTAGATGTTCTGCTCACATAAAGCAACTTGTAAAGCTGTTAGTCTGCTGAAATCATACATTTTTAATAATAAATTACAAACTGTGAACATCTCGGACAAGGTCTTACACGGTTGCATGTGCTTCTGGTGTCCAGGAGATTATTATTATTATTATTAGTAGTAGTAGTAGTAGTAGTATTTATATAGCACCAGTGTATTGCACAGCGCTTTACAATAAAAGGGGAATTTACCAAATGAGACAGTAACAAAATGTAACAGGAACAATAGGTAGTTGAGGACCCTGCTCAAACGAACTAACCGTCTAGAGGAGGTGGGGTATAAAAACACAATAGGAACGATGTTGAGAGACACAGCAAATGGACATGGTGGGAAAGTAGCAGAACTGGAGGTGAGAGTGGAGTGTGGCCCTATAGGAGAGAGCGAGAGGAAAGTTTGAGAGATAGAAGTTACTCTTGGATGCCATAAGCATTCCTGAAAAGATGGGTTTTGAGGAACTTATTAAAGGATTGAAGACCAGGGGTAGGCAGGCTGTTCCAAAGGAAAGGAGCTGCCTGTGAGAAGTCTTGCAGGCGTGAATTTGCAGTAGGGGTGCGAGCAGCAGAAAGGAGAAGGTCACCAGAAGAGCGGAGAGACAGAGAGTGGGCATACCTATGAATCAGAGAAGAAATGTAAGAGGGGTTAGGGTTAGTATTTTAAATTGACCCCTGTAGGGTACAGGAAGCCAGTGTAAGGATCGACAGAGGGGTGAGGGGAGCTACAGGAGAGAAAGAACAGCCTAACAGCAGCATTCACCACAGATTGTAGGGGTGCAGGACGGCTTCTGGGGAGACCAATTAGGAGAGCATTACAGTAATCGATGCAAGAGATTACTAGAGCATGAACAAGCTTTTTGGCAGCAATTTGCGTAAGAAAGGTGCGTATGCGGCTAATGTTTGTAAGTTGGAATCGACAGGTTTTAGCAACAGACTAGACATGAGGCGCAAAGGTGAGGCCAGGTTTAAAAGTGACACCAAGACAGCGAGCTTGAAAGGAAGGGGTGAAGCGGGTACTGTCAACCTGCAGGGAGAGTGAAGGAGGAAGATCAGTGTTATCAGGTGGAAAAATAAGAAAATCGGTTTTAGAGAGAATGAGTTTCAGAACAAAGAATATCACTTTGATTTGGTTTAATTATTGCCCATTCTGCTACTGACAGGACACTGGATTATATTATGATCGCTATCTCCGGGAAGTGGTTGAAGTGCTGGAAACAGATCCACATTTTAGAGAAAAGATTCAGTCTGCTGACATTGAAGACATTAAGGTTTGTGGCTGTGGGTTTGTACGTGGTGTTAAGGTGGGGTGCACTAGGCTTTGTAGGCAGTACAATGCTTCTGGGCAGAAAAAGGTACACAGATTTGGAAGGGAAAAATAATTTTGACTCAAGGCAGGTTGTGGTACAAAGCTTGCGATGAGGGGAGTAGAGTAGCAAATGGTTCTGCAGTTGGATAGGCAGCTACAAGGCTCTGCAACTGAAAGGAAGTGTAACAAGACTCTAGAGGGGGAAGACTGTTACCCATAGATTTTTTTTCGGGAGGGGGAGAACAGCACAATGGTCTGCATAGGGAAAAGGCAACATTAAAACGTTGCAGGGGCAAAAGAAGCAACCAACTGAATGTTCGTAGAGTTCTGCTTTCCTTCTGTGCCATGCTACCTTAGGTGATATTTGGAGTAAATGTTTAAATATATGGATAGATTATGCCTCCTTAGTGTATAGTAAATAGACTTCATATTAATCTGTGGGATTTTTTTTTTTTTTTTTTTGCTTGTTACAGAGCGGTAAAATTAGCAAAGAGTTAGACTTGGTGAGCCACAATATCCGAACTAAACTGGACGAGCTCAAGAGGCAAGAAGTGGCGAGACTACGAGTGCTTATCAAGGCAAAGATGGATGCATCTGAAAGTGAGACTTTCACATAAAGTTTAAAAAATATATGATGGTTCACCAAACAAAACACAATCAGACTAGGCAGCCTGTGTCTTGTGTCATTCTAGGGACAGATACAGGAACTTCAGGCCCATTCCATGGCCTCCTTTTACCTTCTAGTCTTTAGTGTGAAAAGCATGGAGTACCAAAAATGCAAATGCTGACATATTCCTGATTCTTTAAAGTTCTATATTTTTCAATTAAAGTAACAATCCAATCTCTGAAAGCACTGAAGCCCTGTGTAGTTCTTATGGTGCCAGAAGTGCTTTGCGTCATCCTGCAGTAAGATTTCAAGCTGTTTTTAGCATGGTTTGTAAACTTGCTTCAGTTCCATGGAGCACTCACACTGCCAGCAGGAGAAGCTGGATGGCTCTTTGCAATTAAGCAGAGCTGATTTAGTAATTGGTTGAAAGTTCCAGCTGAATGCTCTCAACCAAAGATTTTTATCTTTCATCTGTACTAAAACAGTTTCATATCTCACCGTGGGAAGATGTCAAGGCAACGCCTGGCAATATAACTACTACTCTATGCTGTAGTGTTCATTTAATAATGAGCATGTGGATGCCCACCTGAATCTAATTTGGCTTCTAATAAGCAATAGAGGTAAATGTATAATGCTCACAGTTTGTTGATGTCCTATGTAAAAAAAAGTCATCATGTCATGATATTGCTCATGTTGCTAACTATTTAAAGGCCTGCATGACCTTTTGGTTTGCAATCTGCTTTTATCGCAGTTGGTTATCCCAACATACCTGAAGTGGATTCAGTGTATCTGCATGTACACGTCCTTCAATGCGTTTTGCATACTTAATGGAAACATTTTGACTTTTCCGTTTCAGAGACTGGTATTGATCACCGGATGCTGCTCAAGCAATTCGACCACCTTAACCATTACAACCCACACTCCTTCGAACCAAAGGACTTGGATCTTCTGATCAAAGCAGTAAGTAAAAATTTATTCCTAACGCTTTAGTGTCCTTCTGCGCATTGCTGAATGTCTGCCCTCCGTATTGAAAGGTTTTAAAAAAACAACTTTTTTATACATTTGCCTCTTTCCAGTGTCATGGCAATAGGTAAAACAATACACATGAGTTGTGCGCATTAGACTTTCCCTATAGGAAAGCATTGAAATAATGCATTCTTTTGGGGGATTTGAAGATGCTGAACATTTTCATGGAAAGCGTGAGGATATCCAGCTTTGTTTCAGAGTTAAACTACAAGGATGCTCCTCTAGTGGCTGTCTAGAAGACAGCCACTAGAAGTGGAGTTAAACCTGCAGTTTCTCTAAAACTGCAATAATTAACATTGCAGTGTTAAGGGGAAAGGGACACAGCACCCAGACCACTTCAAAAAGAAAACGTGGTTTGGTTGCCTACAGTGTCCCTGTATGGATAAATCTTTAGAAACAATGTGAAAAGTGTGTAATGAACTATGACTCTGATTGGATGATTGTTTTGTAGAGCGTAGCCAGAGACCTGTGCTAACGCTGTCTGGTTCAATTAATTCACTGGCATGTGCTAAACCCCACCAATTAAAGATGGAACAATGGCAACACTTTTCTAATATTGGTACAAAGCAAAACAAATCTGCACTATAGTATCAGCTGGAAAAGATAGTAAAGCCACAAGTATACAGGCTCAACGATCACTGGCGTACATACCTCGGTCGCAGCTGTGACCCGGGTATGTACGCCAGTCCGGCCACATTTTGCCAGCCTCTTCCTCCCAGAAGCCCTAGGCTGGCGGTGGTGTCACTTGGCGCGTGCAAGGGAGCTTTCTCCCCTGAGCGTTCTCTTCCCAGCTTCCTCGTGCGCACCACAGTGATGCCGGAGCCGGAATATGACATCGCTCCAGCATCAGTAAGTGGCGCGCGAGGGAGCTGAACAGGAGGATCAGTGCTCCCTCGCCGCCTGCAGTGACCGGCCGTCTAGCAGTCCCACTGAACCCCACGGAAAGCTGGAATGCCCTCAGCACTCCAACAGGTAGGGAGGCTGTGGGATTAAATTAAAAAAAAATATATGCGTGTTTATGTGTGTCAGTGAGTGTGTTAGTTTGTGTGTGTCTGTTATTGAGTGTGTGTGTGTCAGTGAGTGTGTTACTGTGTGTGTCAGTGTGTATCAGTTATTGAGTGTGTGTGTGTCAGTGTGTATCGGTTATTGTGTGTGTGTGTGTCTGTTTCTGAGTGTGTTACTGTGTATGTCTGATACTGAGTGTGTTTGTTAGTGAGTCTGTTTGGTGTCTGTGAGTGAGTGTGTTTGTCAGTGAGAGTGTATGTTTTGTAAGTGAGTGTGGATGTGTGTCTGTATGTCTGTCACTGAGTGTGTGTCTGTCAGTAAATGTGTGTGTCTGTGTCTGTTCGTGAGAGTGTGTGTGTGGTTAAAACCCCTTCAGCACTTACCTTTCTCCAGCTCTGGGCTCCCTGGGCGTTGGGGATCTCTCCGCCCCGATCCGCCTCTCGGCTCTGAATGCGCATGCGCGGCAAGAGCCGCACGTGCATTCAAACCGCCCATAGGAAAGCATTACTCAATGCTTTCCTGTGGACGTCAAGCGTCTTCTCACTGTGATTTTCACAGTGAGAATCGCGGAAGCGCCTCTAGCGGATGTCAGTGAGGCCGCTACTAGAAGCTGGATTAACCCTCAGTGAAACATTGCAGTTTCTCTGAAACTATGTTTTCAGCTGCAGGGTTAAAACTAGAGGGACCTGGCACCCAGACCACTTCATTGAGCTGAAGTGATCTGAGTGCCTATAGTGGTCCTTTAAGTGTATGTGTATCTGCATGCACTGGCGTACATACTGTGGTCGCAGGGGTCGCGGCCCTTTGACAGCTGCGACCAGGTGTGTTGCGGCCCCGGTCCGCGCAGAGTAAGCGCCCGGGGGCGGGGGGGTGTTTTCAAGTGTGTGCATATCCTTTTCAGTAACCATATTCAAATCCCCAAGTTATCACAAGATACTGAGATTCCATGAATTCCTTCAGATTCCATTTTGTTTACTTTCTCACAGAAGCCTTGATATTCCTGATGATGTACATCCTCTTATCTTCTAATATGAGATTTCTTGCTGATCTGTCGAGATGGCACTCTGTCGCCTTCTTAATTATTGGAATGTCCTTTACTTCAAGGTCTACATATACTTTAAGGCCAAGCATGTGTAGACACCTAACCATTAAACCTTATTAGACAGCATATTCCGAAACCATGGGCATTGATATGGAGTTGGCATCCTGCTGGCAGTTATGACATCTGTCAGTCTTTTAGGAAGGTGTTCTACAAGATTTTGGAGTGTGCCTCTGAGGTCAGGCGCTGATGGTGGGTGAGGAAAAATCTGGCTGGCAATCTGCTTGCTGTTTCATCCCAGAGGTGTTACATAGCTGAAAAGAAACGTGTCAGTGAAGTTCAACCTTTCTCACATTTGTTTTTGCTGTTGATTCAAAGGAAGGCAAGAAAAAAAACCTGTTTGAAGCGCTTCTAATTTTGTAGAAAATTACTTCTTGACCCTAGAATGGCAGTCAGATATCTCCTTGGATCAAGAGGCTATTACACCATTAATTAAAAATCATATCCCTGAATAATATGTTTTTGCAAGTACTTATCTTGATATTTAAACATCTTTATAGACTCCGGTAACAACACCTCTTCAGACAGAGAACTCTGCATCCTTATATTTCTTACTGTAAAAAAAAAAAAATCTTTCTTTTGCCTTAAACCAAATCTAATTTCTTCCAGTCTAAATGCATGACCTTTGGTCCTATGTATAGTTTATGAGGAAAAAAAAAAAAAGGGGGACTGCACACACTCATAAAAAAAAAATCACAGGGCATAGGTCAGCATATCCCATAAGAACAGATATAAAAAAAAAAAATTCTCAGGCACTCACTGTGATAAATCAGGCATATTTATTGGACACTGCAACGTTTCGACCTATTATTATTGCCATTTATATAACGCCAACAGATTCCGTAGCGTTTAAAAATATTATGGGAGGGGGGATTTAACTATAAATACGACAATTACAAGAAAACTTACAGGAAAGATAGGTTGAAGAGGACCCTGCTCAAACAAGCTTGCATTCTATAGGAGGTGGGCTGTAAAACACAATAGGACAGGAATTCGCAATCAAATAAGGTGGGAGTGAAGCAGAGCTAGAGGATAGAGTAGAGTGTTGCCCTTTAGGAGAGAACAAGAGGCAGGTGTGTAAGGTAGAGGTTACTCTGGGAGGCCATACGCTTTCCTAAAGAGATGGGTTTTAAGGCACTTCTTAAAATATGCAAAACTAGGGGAGAGTCTGATGGCAGTAGGCAGGCTATCCATAGGAAGGGAGCCGCCCACGAGAAGTCATGCAAGCGCAAGTTGGCCGTACGGGTGCGAACAACGGACAGGAGGTGGTCACGGGCATAGCGGAGAGACTGAGAAGGGACATACCTATGGATCTGTGAGGAGAAATAAGAGGGGCTAGAATTGTGCTTTATAGGTGTGAGTTAGTACCTTGAATTGACTCCTAAAGGATACAGGAAGCCAATGTAAGTACTGACAGAGGGGTGAGGTGTGAGAGGACCAACTAGAGAGGAAAATCAGTCTGGCAGCAGCATTCATTAAGGACTGTAGTGGTGCAGTACGGCTTTTGGGAAGACCAATCAGGAGAGGGTTACAATAATCCATGCAGGAAATTACTAGAGCATGGACAAGCTCCTTGGTAGCATCTTGCATAAGAAAGGGGCTGTAATGGAGTCTTACCTGATAGGGAGTCCAGCTCGCAGAGTTATACGCTCACCCTTGCAAAGTAGACACAGACTAGGGTGACCAGGTAAGACGCCACCTGGCCTGTGAGTCTGTGCACGGGGGCTTTCCAGGAAAAGTGCTCCAAGTCTCAGTACAACAGGGATAAGCAGAAGCGTGGTCAAGGGAAGCCAAAATCAGGGAAGCCAGAGGTCAGAGTAGTCCAGGAGGAAAGCCAAGGTCAGAAGCCAGAATTAGACAAGAATCACTGGAACGCAGGTACGGAGTAACAGGAACCAAACAAGGGAACCAGAGTCAATGAACTGACACCCCTCCCAGGGTGAGGCAGGCTTTTATACTTTGTTAATTAGGTATCAGATTCAGCTGGAGAGTTACTGACAGATCCGAGCCTTTGGTGAAGTCCAGCCCCCTAGTGCTGCAGGCAATACAAGAATAAACAGGAGTTATCCAAAGTCCTGAAATGGCTCAGAGGGAAGATAGCAGGATACGGTGTAGAACAACCGCAGTTCAAATCCCCTATCAGGTGCTTCTGGAGCGACCACGTCTGGCAGACTGGATGTCACGGCGTGAACCGTGACGGGCGGTTGCGGGCTATGTTTTTAAGATGGAATCTACAGGATTTGGCAACATACTGGATGTGAGGCTCAAAGGTGAGGCCAGAATCAAGTATGACGCCAAGACCGCACGCTTGCAAGGACGGACTTATGTGAATACCACTAACTTAAAGGGAGAGCGAAAGAGGAGGATCAATATTAGGAGGAGGAAAGACAAGGAACTCTGTTTTAGAGAGATTGAGTTTCAGAAAGCGGGAGAACATCCAGTCAGAGATGGAAGAAAGGCAAGCAGTGACACGTTGCAGGACAGCAGGAGAGAGGTCCGGGGAGGAGAGATATATCTGGGTGTCATCAGCGTACAGGTGGTAGTGGAATCCAAAAGCGGTAATAAGTTTGCCAACAGAGGCAGTATAAAGAGAAAACAGAAGGGGACCAAGGACAGACACCTGGGGGACTCCAACTGAGACAGGACGAGGGGAGGAGGTATCATTAGAAAAGGAGACATTGAATGAGCTTTGGGAGAGATAAGAGTAAAACCACGAAAGGACAAAGTCACAGAGACCGAGTGATTGAAGAGTTTGAAGAAGGAGAGCATGATCAACGGTGTCAAAGGCAGCAGAGAGGTCACGAAGAATTATTATGGAGTAGTGGCCTTTGGATTTAGCTGCGATTAGGTCATTAGTAACTTTGATAAGCGCAGTCTCAGTAGAGTGGAGAGGGCGGAAGCCAGACTGAAGAGGGTCAAGGAGAGAGTTGGAATTGAGGAAGTGAGACACACGGGTAAAGCCAAGTCTTTTCAGAAGCTTTGAGGAAAAAGGGAGCAGGATATAGGACGATAGTTAGAGGGGGAGGACGGATCAAGAGATGGGTTTTTTTCAGGATAGGTACTACAGTGGCATGTTTAATATCAGCAGGGACAACACCAGAAGAGAGAGAGCAGTTGAAGATGTGCGTTAAGGACGATACAAGACAAGTGGATAGAGATCTGATAAGGTGAGATGGAACAGGATCGAGTGGGCAAGTGGTGGGGCAAGAGGAAAAGAGAAGCGCAGCCATCTCTTGGTCAGTAGCCAGAGAGAAAGTCTCAAGGGTGGGAAAGGCATGATCTACGTGTGGTTGAGAAAGAGAGGGGAGAATTCTTTCCTTAGCTGTTCAATCTTGTCGGTAAAGTAGCATGCAAAGCTATCGGTTGTAGGGTTAGTTTGGGGGATGGCCACAGCAGGGCTGAGAAGAGAGTTAAAGGTGTCAAAGAGACGCCTGGGATTGCGGGAGCATGAACTAATGAGAGAGGAAAAGTAGGACTGTTTGGCGAGGGCATATTCCCTCTGAGGCACAGTTTTTCAAAACTAAAGAGATTTAAATTTGTTAACCTTTCCTCAAAAGTAAATGCTCCATTCCTTTTATTCATTATGTAGCCCGCCTCTGCAGTTTTTCCAGTGTCATAATATCCTTCTTTAAAACAGGTGCCCAAAATTGCACAATATATTCAAGGTGTGGTCTTACCAGAGATTTATAAAGAGGCAAAATGATATTTTCATCTCGAGAATTTATGCCCCTATTTATACATTACAATACCTTACTGGCTTTCACAATGCCAATTGACATTGCACATTGTTGTCTAGTTTGTTGTATATATCAATTCCCAAATCCTTCTCGTGTTGTTATCCTAATTCACTACTATTTCGGTTTCATCTGCCATTTGAGTGCCCAGTCCCCCCAATCTATCTAAATCCTTCTGCAGCAAAACAATATCCTGATCACATTGTATTACTTTACAGAGTTTTGTGTCATCTGCAAAAACTGAAACATGACTTTCAAAGCCTATTTCAATCATTTATTAATATATTAAATAAGAGCGGTCCCAGAGCAGAACTTTGAGTGACACCACTTACCACTTTTGTCCAGCTTGCTAATTTACCATTAATGTACTCTATCTTTAAGCCAATGTTCTACCCCAAAAAAAGAATTTTCATCTAGACCAATTTCTTTTAGTTTGAAGACTATTGTAAGGAACCCAAAAGACAACTAGGGAGTTGTAGCTACTCTAGTCGTGTTTTAAACTGCACATACAAATATACTCCCAATAGTGGGATATGATTTTAATAGTAAGATGTTAATAGTGAAGTTGGAGGGAAAGTACCACTTAATCTGGGGTGTAACCAGTTAAAACTGAAAAGGTATGTTGGGGATGCAGCTTGTTATATAGAAAGTATCCCTACACTTTCTTATACAATAAACACCAGTAGAAATGTAAAAGAAGCGCAAAATTACATATTTTTTTTCCATATAAAAGAAAACATTTTATTGTCTTTTTAAAGCATAAAATATATATAAAACTATGTATACTGATTATATACTTAGATACAGTTATCTTGTTTTAAGATTTAACCTGTTGTACTAAATAAAGTGTGCACACTATTTCAAAAATATAAAAAAGAAAAAATGAAAAAACTAAATATATAATAAAAATATATACAACAATGGGTATATGAAAAAAGCTTGAGGGAAAAAAAGGTCTATATGTAAAAAGAGATAAACTTAAAAAGTCCAACCTGATGATTGAAGAGAGAGCTCTCTTTTTCCTCCTGATCTTGTATCCTTAGTCTCCTTGTCAGTATATCTGTGGACAGCTCAGTAAAGGGCTATGCAGAAAAAAACCTTCTTTTGGAGAATGAAATAGATGTCAGCCGTTTTCCTCTTCTTCATATACTGATGCAGATCCTGTTATCTGTTGTTTCTAAGTAGTTGGTGGGAGAGTGGAGGTGTGTTCTTCACTCCAGTCACTCGTGGGGTATTGGGGATTCCTCTATGTGATGACGTCGGAGCATAGCTGCATGTGTATGCAGTTGCTTGTCCTTGATCTCAGTGGGGGGTCCTGTTGCAAAGTGCCGATAGTTCCAGTTCCTACGCGTTTCGTAAGGCTGCCCTTACTTCGTCAGGGAAAAGTAGTGGAGTAAAGAATGTGGAAAAGGACATCCTTGTATAGGGTCTTTATTTTAATTGGTTCATGTTTTGGCTACATAATAATATTGTATAAAAGAGATACATACATAATAATAACTTAGGGCTAGAGTAGCTAGATGTATCCCTTTTATAATATGAAATGAACTGAAATAAACATTTTCTATATGCATGCATAGTAATTAGTTCGGGTTGTGGTCTCTATTCACTAGATTTATCCATTATATAATATAAAGTGAACTGGAATGAACATGAGTTATATACATGCATAGTAATTAATTCGGGTTGTGGTCGTTATTTGCTAGACTTGCCCCTTATGTAATATAAAATGAACTGCAATAAACATGAGTTGGAAGTGACATTGCTACATATATTTACAATTTAGTTTATTGGAAGTAACAGTGAATTAGAAGCTACATTCTAATTAATTCTAAGCAGATATGGTGTAGTCGTTTGTGGTCTACAGTTTTAGTGTGTACTATAAATTTTTTGCAAAATGCTTTATCGATAAAGTGAGTATTATTATCTTATAACTTGCTTTGCCTCTTTCTGCCTAATATTATATATCGGACTATATTCCTCACTCTGTATTGTTTTTTTTTTTTTTTTTTTAAATATATAATTAAATGCTAACTTTTTTAAAATTTTTTTATTTTTTTTAATTTCTTTTTACTATTTTGGCCACTTCTGGGGAGTTCCACAGTAGTTTCTTCAATGTTGTGCTCTTACTGACAAGCCTAATGCAATTTTCTGTTGCCTTCAGTAGTGCGACTTTTAAATAATCCTATTTCTCCTGAACTCCATTTAAACCACTCCAGTCTGATAATGACTCCTTTACACATATTGTAATTTTAGAAAAGTCTGTTTTTCTAAAGTCTAAAATTTTTTTGTTTTTGTGTGGTGTGACTGTCACTGTTCTTATATTAAACCACAATGATTGATGATCACTGGATCCTAAACTCTTACCTACAGTAATATCTGATACGAAATCTCCATTTGTTAACTCTTCTAGTATGGCCTCCTCATGAGTTACCTCCTCGATATCTTGTTTTAGAGACAATCCCAGTAGGGAGTTTAGAATATGTGTACTCCTGGCACAAGCAGCTATTTTGGTTTTCCAGTTCACATCAGGAAGATTAGTCACCCATGATGATAACTTCCACCTTTCATTGTCATTTTAGCTATTTCCTCAACTAGTAGATTATCTAACTCTTCAATTTGTCCTGGGGGCCTATAAATCACACTTACACGAGTTACTGTGTGATTACCAAATTCTAACGTAACCCAAACGGACTCTGTTTGCCTCACTAACTTTTATTAGGTTAGATTTTATGTTATCCTTAACATACAGGGCCACCCCTCCCACTTTCTTGCCTTCCCTGTCTTTTCTATATAAAGAGTACCCTGGTATTGCTATGTCCCAGTCATTTTTCTCATTATACCATGTCTCAGTAACAGCCACTAAATCTACATTCAGTTGCCATTATTGCCACAAGTTCATGGATCTTATTCCCTAAACTGCGAGCATTTGTAGACATGACTCTAAGCTTATCATTTTTAACACACTTGCTAAAGGCACCTTCTGTCCTTGTTTTGGGGGGCAATTGGATTGATGTTTTATCACCCTTTTGCCCCCCCCTCCTAGTTTAAATACATCCTAGCAAAACCTCTGTACTGCTCACTGAGAACATTTGTTCCCTTTTGAGAAAGATGCAAACCATCTTTTTTGTACAGTTTATTTCCATTCCAAACAGAGCTACCATGAGAAATAAAGCCAAATCCTTGCTCCGGACACCATTCACCAAGCCACAAGTTAAAGTCCCTAATACGCTTCTGCCTGTCGTTTTGAGTGTTATGCACAGGCAGAACTTCAGAGAATGTATACACATACAAAATATATATATAGTAAGCATTCAACTATAGTTCTGGTAACCCAGTGTAACATGCACTAATGGAAACAGGGTGCTAGAAATGGGAGAAAAAGTTAGCTCACCATTTCATGTCAAAAAATGTTTATGTAATACACCAAACAGTCAATATATAATATTAAGTGCATAACCTGCAAATGTATACACAATAAATAGACATAAATAAAGTGCAAACAGATTACCCACTAGATGTTCTATCATATGTACTGACCTAGGGCTGAAGACCAAAACTTCCCAACGTATGGTTGTTGCCTTCTTCCCCTTCAAGCTAGCTCCTTGGACATTTAAAATGACATGGGTATGTATTCAAGCAAAGGTGTCTGACTGTTACAAGGCTGTTCAAGCCTATGGTTGGCAGGGTATTGTGAGAGCTGTAGAGAAAAATGACTGAGGGTTGTTGTTTTTTTGTTTTTATCTTTTGTAAAGATTTTATAATCTGGTTTTCTCCAGGCGACAAAAGATTTGGAGAATTACGACAAAGAACGTCACGATGAGTTCAAAAGGTATGAAATGATGAAGGAACATGAAAGGAGAGAATATCTAAAATCCCTTGATGAGGAAAAGAGAAAGATCGAGGAAGCAAAGTATGAAGAAATGAGGAAAAAGCACAAAGAACATCCAAAAATGAACCATCCTGTGAGTGTTCATTTATGTGTTTACTTATGGTTAGAGAAAGTCTGCTGTGGACTGTATTGAGCCAATTTTGACGTAAACAAAGGGAATGTATTCAGTACATTAATTGATGTGGCTAACCCATTTCTTGAGGGTAGGTCCAATCTAGTATGATGAAGACTGTTATCAGAACTCATCCAAGAGAGTTTATTGTTTTTATTCTGATGGTAACAGCAATGGCAAGCAGTATTTGTGGAGGGGTGATTTCCAACTGCGAGTTCCTATCAACTAAAAAATGGCGCGATGCTAAAATTGAGGAAGTCAGACACCCCCTGGCTGTCTATCAGACAACCGGTCTTTTTACTTCCTGGTTTATTTAGCTCGGTGGCTCCCAGTGCACCTGCCTTGCAAAGACTTCTCATTTAGCTGCATTGGGAACTGATTGGACAGCCACAGAAAGTCTAGGCAGGGTTAAAAGGGGAGGACTTTACATGCTGTTTTTAGAAATACCCACATTAAAAAATGCATAATTAAATGCATGAATGTTTTCATTGGTGGTATATGGTATATCTACTAATCAATTATCCTTTCTGAGTGCATTTTTTCACTAGTAATTTTGTTCCCTTCACTGTTAAATGAATTTTGGCTAAAATTTGTATCAAAGGACTAATGCATCTTGTTTTTGCAGGGAAGCAAAGACCAGTTGAAGGAAGTATGGGAGGAAACAGATGGCCTTGACCCAACTGATTTCAACCCAAAGACGTTCTTTAAGTTGCATGGTAAGAAATTAAATATTTTAACAGATTTTATTTTTACACCTTTATTTGTATTGATGTTTAGTATCCATGCTACTCAAATATCTCCTGAAATACAGTAACATATAGTACATTCATCCAGGGCTCCCTTCTTCCAGTGTGCACTGCTAAAAGTTTTACTACTGTCAGGTTTATATGTGTGGTGATATTCACACACAAATACAGTCTTCAGGGATTCTGTTCTACGTTTTAAACAATGATATAAACCTGTATGAATGACAGATGGCAAATAAAGAGACTTTGCTTAAAAATATATATAAATTGAATAAAACACACTATAAAAACCTAAAAAAAAAAACAACACAACTATAATCAATTTGCTACATATAGTATTTCGAATCAATCAGTCAATTCATTTTCTTGCTAAACCTAAGGGTCAAGGTTACTCCTTTCTTGCTTTTACAATCTTATCAGTGAAGGACAGTAAACAGAGATACAAACTTCCCTGCGGAGCCCAGCATACAGAACTATCGATATGGTATACTACTTGATTTACTGAAACACTTGTTGCCTTATCAGTTCCTATACTGGAAATATCAACCAAACCTGCCAAGTATATACGAATAAAGTTGAGCTACAACAACCCAAAATATATAATGTTTCTGGTAGCCTTAGTATGTATGTGTATATATATATATAGGAATATAATTAATTCCTATTCCAGATGTAATCAGTTCAACATATATATATATATATATATATATATATATATATATATATATATGTTGATGTTGAACTGATTACATCTGGAATAGGAATTAATTATATTCCTATATTTGTCAGATATATCTCTCTCAGACTGCAGGTAGAATGAGATATAACTATTCTATTATTACCTCCATATGGGATAGGTTAAGTTCACAATATAGATGAGACTACAATGGCCATTGTATTTGATATATAAAATACAGGGAAATCTTTTTTTTTTTTTTATTCTTTATTTATTCCAAGACGAGACATCACAAGCAGTACATATACAGCAACATAGGATTATGCATAAACAAGCATGTACACTGTGATCATGGCTTTTTACATTAGCAAGATGAACAATCAAGGTCGTATAGATCCCATAACTAGAGACCACTAGTTGTATTTACATCTCTAATTTTCAAGGTAGTTCTCATCTCTGTGTATGTTAAAATATCCCGTCTGGCTTTTAATAGTTGATAAAACATGTAACACATAACATATGATATATGACGACCGCACACGTGTTTGCAGAAAAAAAAAACCGACTAGGAATAGTATACGAGCGTACGTTTGCTCCCATGTCTCTATTGTCACACACGTGTATCTCCACTATGTACAGTCGGACAATAAGATTAAGGAACTAAGAGATGAAAGAAAAGGAAAAAATAGAGGAAGTGCCTCGAAACTCCGAGGTCACAGAGAAGAGGGTATGGGGAGGAGTCCGAGGAGAGCCACCCAATTAAAAAGGCATCGTAGGGAATGTGCTTCCCTTCCAACCCTGTCCCCCACGGGGGTCCGCAAAATCCCTCCCTGCGAGCCGGGTCCAAATAATACGGTTTACCTCCTTTCTCAGAAGCCCAGAGAGGTATGTTTGGATGTTCTTATTCAGTCTGCCTTTCTCTAATCGCTTACAGTGCTATTTCTCCAGGGGCACCATATCTTGTCAAATTTCTTCATTGCCCCCCTGACCTGTGCTGTCAGCTTGTCCATTAGGAAAGTATCTCTTATTTTTTGTTTTACCATCACCATTGTTGGGGTCTCCCTCTGTAGCCACACCTGTGCTAGGGCTCTTCTAGCGGCAAGGTTTATTTTTTGTATAAGGTTTTGTTCCGTTCTTGTCCAACCATCCATGGATCTGGACAACAGAAACACCCATGGGTCTAGTTTCACCTCCCTGTCAAAAACATCCCGCTGCAATGCAGCAATCCGTTTCCAATAGATTTGTGCCTCCAGGCATTCTCTATACATGTGTATATACGTACCCTTGTGTCCGCAGCCTCTCCAACACAGGTCCGTCGGGTTTTTACGCATTCGGTACAACGTCCCTGGAGTGGTGTACCCCCGAAATAAGGTCTTCTAGGATTGTACCTGCAAGGAGACGCACACTGAATATGTTGCAGCAGCCTCCCATATTTCCTGCCATTCTATGCCCTCCAGAACCTCATTGAGATCTGCTTCCCACTGATCTATATATGTGATATCTCCCCATTCTAGCGTGTGAGTGCTCAGATGAGCATATAAACATAAAATTAAGCCGCTTGGGGATTGTTCCCTCTTGCACATCCTTTCGAAAAACATTAACTGTATCAACGCAGCCGTTTTGATCCGGGGATCTCTGGCATAATCCCTAAGCTGTAGATACCGGAAGTAGTTGAAGGGTCGTAATGGGGCCCTGCTTGTCAGTTCTTCAAATGTTATAAATGAGCCGTTTTCAAACAGTTTGCACAGTCACTGCAGTCCCGTGTTCTCAATACCCTTGAAATCCCAGGGACTCATGCCCGGAAGAAATGCTTTGTTTCTTAAGAAAGGGGTCATGGGCGACGGGTTGGAGGTCAGGCCATATTTAAGGGAGTTGCGTATCGCTGGGCATATCACTTGATCTATTGGTCTATGTTCCTTAGGATGACCAGAATTCTTATGGTGAATGAAATCAATTTGGGATTCTCCTCTCTGGGTGCTCTGGTCTATTGCCAATCAGTCAGTCCCTTACTGGATCGTATTTTGATTTCTTTGCCCTCTGATCTTCCTTGATCTTTGATGATCTGAATATTCCTCATCCTACATATTTCAAATTTTTCTCCCTATGCAACCAAAGACAAATTAATTATATATATATATATATATATATATATATATATATATATATCTCATTACATGATGTAAAAATCATTTTATACACCTAACCTGTATGAATAACCGATAAATACATTCACTTATACAAAATCAAATTACATAAGTGTGTATAAATAAATATATATATTTTACCCCTATATCAATCAAAGACATAGGTTACATCCTATTTTAGGATATGTGTAGATCATGCTTGCTTTCAGTATATTTAATATACATATTTAAGTTCTATTCCATTATATTTTGTTCTTATTTGGTGATTTTAATATGGAAGTGAGCTTTCTGTGGAAGATCAAATTTTGGCCTTTGTTGGTTGACTAACACTCTGGATTGTTTTGTAATATTTATGCGCACACAATTGCATTGTTCTATGCTCCTTTGAAGCTATGTGGTTTTTACGCTGTAAAGTACATCTGGAAACTTAAGTTAGTCCTTATTGGTTTTTTTAATATTTATCCACAGATATCTTAAGGCAAAACCAGAGACCAAAAGTTTTATTTCTGTTTATTTGCCAAGATTTACCACGTTAAGGCTATTTTGACCTTTATCCAGAGATTTTACAAGCAATGTTGGGAAAAATCCAGGCCAGTCTCATCATTCGTATTGTTCTCTGAATATTACAATCCGTACTGTACACAATAGCACAACAGGTGGTGCAATCTGTTAGTTTAGACATTCCGCACCCCATCCCCCCCACTGTATAGATGAATTCTAACACCGAGTCCAGAGATCTGGTTCTTCTGTATTGAAATAAAATCAGTTTCCTCTTACAGACACTAATAGTGATGGTTTCTTAGATGAACAAGAATTGGAAGCTCTTTTCACAAAAGAGGTAAGAACGATCATGTATCTTACATTTTATTGTGTATGTTGTATATGGTTAGCTTAATTGATATATATACTATTTGCTGCTAAAAGACCAATACAGGTGTATGTGCGTCAAAGAGAAAGTCTCATATGGCAATAAAAGATGTTGAGGAAGAGATAACAAAATATTGTTTTGCTGGCATTGGCGGATCCAGGGGGGGGGGGCAACGGGGCAATTGCCCCCCCCGAGAAAATATAGCTGCCCGAGGCTCTCCCCTTCCGGCCCATGCAGGGCTGGTGCTATCCAAGCACCAGCCCTGCTGTTTGCCATCACGGACCGGAGGGGAGATCAGTGATCTCCCTCCCCGGCCCAGAGGCAGATTGCTGGGCTGCCGGCAGGGGAGGGAGTGAGAGAGAGAACCCGGGGGAGCTATTACCTGCAGCTCCGCCGGGTTCTCCTCTCGCGAGCATGGAGCGTTACCATGGCAACGCTCCGTGCTCGCGAGAGTGAACTCTAGCCTGAGCTGCAGGTTAGAGTTCACTCCACCACTAGAACCACCAGGGAATGGAAGAGAAAGCGATGTCTCCCCCTCCCTCAGCAAAGGTAAGAAGGGAGGGGGGACATTATCTATATTTATTTATTTAGTTATTTAATAATAATTTTTTTTTTTTTATCTTTAATCTGCCCCCTATCCCCTCACACAAACTATAACCCCCTACACACTGCACCACACACAAATATACAGCCCCCCTTACACACATAGCCCTCCCTTACATACACAGCCCCCCCTTACACACACAGCCCACCCTCACACACACAGCCCCCCCTTACACACACAGCCCCCCTCACACACACAGCCCCCCTCACACACAGCCCCCCCTCACACACAGCCCCCCCTTACACACGCAGCCCCCCCTACACACACAGCCCAGCCCCCTCTGCACACACACAGCCCCAGCCCCTCTTACCTTACCTGCACACAGCCCCCTCGTACACAGCAGCCCCCGCCGCACACAGCCCCTCTACCACATGCCCAGCCCCCCATACATGCCACAGTCCCCCATACTCACCCAGCCCCAACAATACACACAGCCCCCAATACACACCCCCAATACACACACAGCCCCCATACACACATAGCACCCATCACACAAAAACACACTGCGCCACTCACACACAAACACACTGCTCCCAATACACACTGCTCCCAATATACAAATTGCTACCCCATACATACACTGCACCCCTCTCACACATGCACTACCCCTCCATACACATACTGCGACCCTCACACACACTGCACCCCTCACACACATACACACTACAACCCCTATCCCGGCAGACCTGGGTAAGTTATCAAATGTTTTTTTAAAAGGTTTGACTACTTACTCTGGGAGAGCGCCACAGCAACTCCAGGCACCAAAACCACTACAGAGAGCTGTAGTGGTTATTGTGCCTGGATTGTTTCTTAAAATAATCTGCCAGTGCCCCTCCCGAGATTAGCTTCTGGATCCGCCACTGTTTGCTGGATTATATTTATTTACTCTTTGCTGGTTTAAACATTGACTAAGTTGCCACCCCCCATGTGAAAGTGAATACACTCCTTTTACACCCCCCATATATCCAGTAAAATTCAACAAATATACACTCATCCACACTTTCTTTTTCACACTCATTCTCTCCCACCCTTCATTCCTTTTCATAACAATTCTCTACCCCTCACCCTTCCTTAATTTTCAAATCCTTTTTCTGTCTCTCCCTCAAACCCCCTCTCTTTCTTTTCACAATATCCTAAGACCTCTCTCTCACCTGCTCCTCTTTTTTTTTTCTCTCTCTCTCTCCTTATTTTTTGCGTCCCTCCTCTCCCCCCCCCCCTTTTTTTATATTACTTCTCTGTCTTCTCTCCTTATCTTTTATCACACTTTCTCTGCTAGGCACTCCTACCTTATCCCCTATCTTTCCAAGCCCCAATTAAAATATCACGATGTTCCCAATTTTCTTCAACTTCAGATGTCTTACAAATGTTTTCTTTAGCATTTGAGTCCAATTGTGATCTACCTGCTTCTCAATTTCTTACAGTGTACTGTTATTGTACCTAGTGAAAATCCACATCTTTTCTTTTTTGTAGGATTTGCTTAAAAATTGTCCTAAAAACGATTCACAAATATGCAATGAAGGTCTAATCTAAAGCTATTTGTAAAATTTAAAAAAAAAGTGTAGTTGGTACAAGCTGCATGTATTATCATATAACTTTTGTTTTAAAAGTGGTAATTGGTGCTTCATTGAAATAATTGACTCTACTAAACCATCCATTCTATATTGATTGTATTCCCGTATCTGGGTTATTAGACTATTAGATGTTGTTGCGATGCTGAATATCTGTTAGCGGTTTTGAATCAATAGATTGATTGCTGTTCTAGTTGGTTTACATTTATTTTACATATTTTTTTCAACAGTTGGAAAAGGTTTATGACCCTAAAAATGAAGAGGATGACATGGTAGAAATGGAGGAAGAAAGATTAAGAATGAGAGAGCATGTCATGAACGAGGTAAATTCTAGTCTGGAGTTGCTACCAGACAGCATTAAGCAAGCAAAACATCATGGGACTTGTGGTTTCACAGCAGTGAAAGAGCTTTCTGCTCCAGCTATTTCATATCCTCCTCTCCTTAATAACATTTTCAGTCTCTGGTACTCCTAGATATTTGTCCCCGATAATGCCTGTTTCAGTCAGTAAGGAAAATGAATACTCAGGGCAAGTATTTTCACTCTTTACATGCCTGTCAATTGCCAACTGGTTTCATGCTTTTTAAACTTTACAAGCTGAAGATCTCCAACAGTGAAAGAAGAACCGTGGGTGCCCAGTTCACAAACTTTTTGACTGCGCACTGGGAGAGTGTTGCAGGCAACTCCTGGCATTATAATCACTGCAGTGGACTGTAGTGGTTATTGTACTTAGGGATGCGATTTAATACAAACTGTCCTACCATAACTAATCAACCCATTCCTCTCAAGCACCAACAGTTAAAAGAACACTCCAGTTAAAAAATAAGTATATTTTTTAGGCATCATAACAACTTTAACTGAATGAAGCAGTCTTGGTGTATAGATCATGCCCCTGCAGTCTCGCTGTTCAATTCTCTGCCATTTAGGAGATAAATCACTTTTGTTTCTGTTTATGCCACCCTGGCTGTGACTGACACAATCTGCATGGTACAATGGTACAATGGTTTCATATTCATTCAGATCTTAACTCATTCATACTACAAACCAAAAATACAAATAGAATAACAATAATAATAAAATATACTTATCAAAACAAAGAAACGGCTTCGCACAGATCACCTCCCAAATGGTGGTCTTCTCAAGCCATAGAAATATACACAACACACGTGGAATTCAGCTGTTCTTCCTAAAAACTGATAAATAAACAAAACCTAGTGTAATACAGTTTTATGGATATTATTCTCTGCTATAGATTGCAGTCACGAAATATTGGACTAGCCCCATTTAAAGGGACTCAATGGTGGGTGGGATTAGGCTGCTTTATGGGAGCATTATTATTATTATTACTGCTTTTTATTGATATTGGTCTCTGAGGAAGTCCCAATGGTGGGACGAAATGCATAAGACCAGTCATTTTATTGTTACTTTTAATTTTATTTACAATAAACCCATTTTACACCTATCTACCTATCGGAGTCCTGACTGGTTCCAAATCCATGGTGATACTTCAATTCTGAGGAAACACTACTCCAATATCTTGTGTGTGCAATCTGTAGCAGAGAATATTTTCCATAAAACTGTATTACACTATGTTTTGTTTATTTATTATTTTTTAGGGAGATTAGCTGAATCCCACGTGTGTTGTGTGTATTCCTTAACTTATTCATCCCCTCTTTTTCAACCTCCATTCCTTTCTTTACAAGTTTTTTTTAATTTTATTTTTTTTCTTCCTGCTCTGTTAATTGAACTTTAATCACACCCAAGAGGCAGCTGCAGGCTATTAACATAGCAGGAGACACAACATTCTAAAACAAAATCCTATTACCACCTGAGGTACAATTTGCATAGAAAATTAAATCCATTTGTTAATCAGCATGTACATGGATAACACACTTACTGTGCATATGTCACCCTAGTGTGCATTCAAAATGCAGTGAATGGGAGAGTCAGAAAAAATATTTTAAAACTTGCGGTCACTTTAGAGGAACACTATATAGTTAGGAATACAAAACCGTATTCCTAATGCTTTAGTGTCGCTCTGCTTCTGAGGCCTCCCATGCTGTGATTAAAGGGTTAATTAAAACTCCTTTCTTTTTTAAAACTTACCTCCCCAGCACCGAGGTCTTTCAGGATTCCTCTTCCAGCGACACCCCGCTGATGGGGCTAATGTGCATGCACGGCAAGTAACACACGCACATTAGACCTTCCCCATAGGAAAACATTGAATCAAACTTTCCTGTGGGGATTTTGAGAGTGCGGCATGTCCTCATGCAAACATGAGGACGTCCAATGTAGTTTTATGGAGCTAAACTCCATGAGAATGCAGGAAGTACCACTAGCGGCTGACCAGAGGCTGTCTTAACCCTGCAGTGTAAACATTGCAGTTTATCTGAAACGGGGGGTCAAGGCGAATGTATTAAGCTGAAGAGCTGTGTACTCCAATACATTTATGGGTTTAAAGCAGCCAGGAAAGGTGTAACTAGGCTTCACAAACAAAGTGATTCAACTGCTAAATGGCAGCGATATGACTGGATTGTCGTATTTTCACTGTGCCAGATTAGATTGTTCGTGTTTTTTAAGCCTTTTATTGCTCCTCATTGGGTTCCTGTTGTCTCTGAGTATTGTCATTGCCAGTATGGGTTATAATACCAAGAAGGAGATAGATATTGGATATCTCTTACGCCAAGCACACGGCAGCCTCCTATGTGGAGGATTGTTCCAAATTTTTAGAGGAGCTATCTTTCGAAGCTGAAGATGAATCTTTCCCTATTCTTCTGACACCACTTAGTATCCTACAGCCTTGTGACTCCTCATAACACTCTGGGAAATCAGGCAAGTTGGTTTGGTGTTGTGGAGAAAACATCTAGTAGTTAGTAATTATGGCAATGACATTTACTTAAGCACTTGGTTATGTAGGTGCAGCAGTTGCAGGTCCTGTTTGACCAACCAGCTGTTTTGCAGCTTTGGAGATATGAGGAGACCTAAAAATCTTCATCAGATCAGGGGAATTTCAGAAGCGGTATCAATTGTTGAACTCCCCTCATTTTCTCAGGTGCCTGTTTGCAGCCCTTATAGCCCTATTGCCCTATAAGCAGGCCAAGAATATCTAACTTGATGGCTTCTTTTGTGTGCTGAAACCTGCCAGGGCTCCAGCACCAGCTACCATGTATCTATTGATTTAGTTTATAAATGGCTGGTAAAAGCCCACAGTTGTTACAGTTCCTCTGAGAAACTGTACCCTTAATGTTGACAACATGACACTCCCTTTTTTGCGCACCTTTATAGTACTACGCTTCATTGTTTCACTTCTTCGGGAGCAACTTATACACTATCACTGGAGATATAAACTCATCCAAGTTGGGTCTCATGAAACTTCTACATATTCAATTCACAATCTTCAGGAGGTGGGAGCCATTTTGGGAAATTTGGGCCTGCTTTTAGACTTGTTGGGGCTTGCACACCCAGAGGTGAATAAGCCACCAATATGATTTATACTGGCTAAAATTACATTTATTTATATAGCGTCAAAATATTCCGCAGTGCTGTGGCATAGGTAAACAAGACCAGCATTGAGTATAACCAAATGCTTACACAAAGGTGGTGAACAGCAGGTGAAGATGGCCCTGTCCAAATGAGATTACAATATAAAGTTACTCCATTTATACCTCACTAGTCTACTATGTACTCTTATGTCAGAGTAACTACCTGATATTGAAATTTTACATGTCCGCTTGAAATCTTAGCACTATTTACTTGCTCTCCCATTGATTTTTATCCTGAATTTTCGAGGTGAGCTCCAGGTGTTCCTTATTGTGCCTAATATTGTATCAAACCCCTCAATCCACACATGTTTTGAGGGGTTCTGTTATCTCTATTCCCTTCACTTGCATTCATGATGCCAAAGATGGTTTTGTGATTGCCAATTGCTTGGTTTCCACTAGAGATGTATTACATCATGTATCATCATTGGCATTGATCTATGAACCTTGACTATGCCAGCTGTGTTAATGTTAATGATGTGTCTTTAAATAATGTGAAGAGATTTTTGACATGCTTTAAAATGCTTCTCAATCACTTGGTCAGGACCCAATGTTTGGTCTCGAATGGTTGAATCAGGTGGATGATATTCATCAGGCCAATGTTTACTGCCCACAACTAATTAGCAGTCCGTCTCCATAACATTGCATGCGGTAGTAGCAGCTCAGTCTAAAGGTGGGAAGATGCCATTTTTTTTTTAACAAAATGTAATTGTGTTATTTGTTGCATAACAGTTGTAGAAGGGGTCACGGAGACAATTTTAAAATTGAAGAATGAATAACCAAACTAATGCATTGTTCATAATTTTGGTTGCTATATAAAGATTAAAAACTCAACTGAATGCTACATGGAAGGTGGTACCTTTAAAAGGGTGGTGGGGGTGTGCCTCCAGACCAACTGGTGTTATTCATTTCTCCTCTTTCTCTCAACATCTCATCCCCCCCACCCCTTTTTTTTTTCCTTCTTTTTCTTCTACATTCCTATGGCAAAGCTCTCCATTTGCACTTCAAAACAAGACATTTCTGTTTTATCTCTTGTGGACTAGCAAATGTGAGTTGCATGAAGTACCATTGTTGACTCTGCATCTTGAAGTAATATGTCATGCATGTAAACACAGCTATGGTTTTGCCTTGGTTTCATTACTGTTTATTGTGTTTGTTTGGAAAAATCTTCAATAAGCACTAAAATGTGCATAACACAAGACATCTATTTTTTTTTTTTTTTAGATTGACATTGACAAGGACCGTCTCATCAATCTAGCTGAATTTATGAGAGCTACAGAAAAAAGAGAGTTTTTGGAACCAGATGGATGGGAGGTAAAGCAAATATCCACAGCAGTGGTATCCTAACTTGAGTTACTAGCAGTGGGGAATGCACTCATTTTATTAGGAAGGGGCATTTTAATTACACATAAGACCCTGTAATTGCTACACCACCCCTGGCTGTGACTTTACGCAACCTTCATTGAAAAATAATGGTTTATTTCAATCCGTACTTACAGCACAGTGTGTTTACGTTAGAAGTTCCTATCTCCTACTCTGTTAATTGAACTTTAATCACACATGGGAGGCTGCTGTAATTTGAAATCATAAAATAAACATATTTCTCCTTCATCCCTTGAAAGAGTGCTGGCACTGTTATTTATAGGATATGCTGTGAGATGATTGTTTGGATTGCTGTTATTTATATCCTATGCTGAGAGTTGATTGGTGGATTGCTGTTATTTATATCCTATGCTGAGAGTTGATTGGTGGATTGCTGTTATTTATATCCTATGCTGAAAGTTGATTGGTGGTTTTTTTTTTTTTTTATAAATTCTTTATTTTGTTGGTGTTTCGTTTTTGTACTTTATGGGGAAAGGGTTACAGAAAGAAGAGATTGGGGTGAAACGTTAGTTTAACATATAGCAGTTTGTAACAGTATTAACAAGTCAGGTATTGGCTTATGCTTTGTTGTGCCTAATTTGTATCAGTTTTCCTGAATGTTGCTCGGCATATGTTTGTAGTACTCCTTTCGGGAGGAGCTTTGGGTGTCGGGGGATTGCTGTTTTTTATAGTCTATACTGGCAAATGATTATATTGCTGTTTATAGCCTATGCTGAGAGTTGATTGGTTGGATTGCTGTTATTTATATTCTATGCTGAGAGTTGATTGGTTGGATTGCTGTTATTTATATTCTATGCTGAGAAATTATTGGTTGGATTGCTGTTATTTATATTCTATGCTGAGAGATGATTTGTTGGATTGCTGTCACAATTTTTTATAGCTTGTACCCGTGCATTCCTCCTGTTTTTACAATGATTTTGATGTATTGTAGTGTTTTTTTTTCTCTTTGCTGTTATTGTGAGTAAACAAAAAAAGAGATAAGCACAATATGAGCCTTTGTGTCTTGTAATAAAATCATGGCACATCTTAGATTATCAACATATGCTGGCTGTGCCAGTGCACGTATGTATTTGATGCTAAGGGAAATATTGAGGTGTTTGGTCTGTTCAATGCTTTTCAGACTGTAGACCAGCAGCAGCTTTATACTGAAGATGAACTGCAAGAATTTGAAAAGCAGATTGCTGAACAAGAGCGAGAACTGCAGAAGAGAGCGGAGAACCTTTACAGACAGAGAGAGGATCTGCAAAAACAACATGATCTCATCCAGGCCCAAAAGCAAGAACTACACCAGGTACTAAATGGGCAAGGATAGGGAACCCTTCATTAGTAGATTTGCAATAATAGCATCTTTAGTATCCTTTTCAAAATAATCCAAAACTCTATCAGAATTATGACAAGATTCTATTTCTGCCTCCTCCTCTGTGCAAGAATCCAAATCCACAGTACTCTGCAGTATGACATTGTGGCTTTTGCCCTCTTCCACTTCCTTGTCACTTCTTCGAGATGAGAAGTACTCGTGCCTTGATATTTTTTTTTTTTTTTAAGGGTTTCGTTCTGAAACGGTTTCTTAAAGTCATACTTTGATACGCTGCTGAGTGTGGTTACAATGATATGAAATATACATTGCTGAGCTCAGAGACCCATTTGCCTGTCACCCCAGAAAAATCTTTCACAAACGTTCTGTCTGGCCAGCAGTAAATTTTATAAAGAGCAACTGAAGCCCAAAATTGTGCACGAGAATAGTTATAAGAATGTGAAGGACTAGAAAACTGCCATTCTGAAATTTGTCATAACCAAGATAGCCGCTGCTAAATAGGGAAACAAAGTAACATAGAGATAAAGACCACTGAAATAATAAAATAGAGGAAACCATCATTTAGCTAAATCTGGGTGATATTTCATTACAAAACAGAAGCCATTCAGCATTGAAATGGTGAAGAAATCTCTTGGGGGATAAGTTAAAAAGCAAAGCTTATTTGAAATAATAAACCTATTTCTCTTATTTTCCTTGCTCCCCCCGTTTATGTTTTTCTCTCTTTCTTTCTCCATCCATTATCTATATTATTATTGCACTAAATTCACTTTATTTAAGGTTGTGCAACAAATGGAACAAAAGAAAATGCAACAATCGATTCCCCCATCTGTACCAGATGCAAGCCTTAATTTCCAACCAGGTATGTATTATAGTTCAATAAATATATCATATATATGACCATGTACATGCAGTGAATTCTAGCTTCCGTCTTTTTACCCGCCCTGTAGCTTTAAAGGGACAATAGTGTATAGTACAGTTGGAGTCTGGAGACCTGACCCCATTTTGACAGCTGTTCTAGGCCGAGCAGGATTAACTGCATGCTAAACTTAGGTGACCACCAAGTCCCCGGGGGTCAGAAAGGTGCCTTGGAACTACGAATTTGCTTGGCATCTTCCCATCTCTATGTGAAGGATAATGGTGGGTTCCAAACCAGCAAACTGCCTTGTGTGCTATGGGATCGTAAAGGGACATACATCACGTGACAATTATTTTTTCCTAGCATATAGTGGCAGTATAAGTGGGATGAACTTTATACTTTTGTTTGCTTATCCTGTCTAGTTCAGTACTATAAAGTCTTAGGTTGATAAACAAAATAGGCAAAGTTCACCCTAATGTCCAACACTGGTCCATGGTGCTGGGGTTAGCCAAAGCAAATCCAAGCTAACTTAGATTAGCAAGGGCAAGTCCAGGCTGGTAATGGTAAACAAAGGCAAGTCCAAGCTAGTAAGGGTTAGCAAGGGCAAGTCCAGGCTGGTAATGGTAAACAAAGGCAAGTCCAAGCTAGTAAGGGTTAGCAAGGGCAAGTCCAGGCTGGTAATGGTAAATAAAGGCAAGTCCAAGCTAGTAAGGGTTAGCAAGGGCAAGTCCAGGCTGGTAAGGTTTAACAAATACCAGTCCAAGGAAGTGAGTGTGGTGCACCTAGGGTTTGTAAGTTGGCCAAGCAAATTAGTAGTTCAACAGCCCCTTTCTAACACCTGTACTCTAGGTGGTTGCCTAAGTGTACCTCACAGTTAATCCTACTCCCTGTACTCTAGGTGGTTGCCTAAGTGTACCTCACAGTTAATCCTACTCTGCCCAGAATAGCTAGGAATGAATAATTTATTGCAAGTAAAATTTCAGTCGTTTAAGCAAGCAAGCAAACAAATATGCAAACTAATATAAAGCAAAAAATACTTTTAAAAGTATGTAATAAACATTTATAAACTTACTATAAACCAGATTGCATTGTTGAGCACACCTCTTACCTAGGGGAGTTTCTTCAGCTCCAGCCCCTCCTTCTTTCCCACAAAACTCTGTTTAAGACCAGTCAATTAATTACAGAAACAAGGCATCATTGTGCTTCAGCAAGAGAAAAAACGTACTCCGGAACCTGTTCTGCATGAATCACACTGATCAGACTTAGTTACATAGTTGCATATAGTTACAAAGGGTGAAAAGAGACATGTGTCCATCAAGTTCAGCCTTCCTCACATATGTTTTTTTTTTTGCTGTTCATGGAAAAGACAAGAAACCCCAATTTGAAACACTTCCAATATTGCAACAAACTAGTAAAGAAAAATCCTTCTTAAACCCCAGAATGGCAGTCAGATTTATCCTTGGATCAAGAAGCTATTACCCTACAGTTGAAAAATGATCTTATATTATTGAATATTCTGTTTTTGCAAGTATGCATCTAGTTGCTGTTTAAACATCTGTACAGACTCTGATAAAACCACTTCTTCAGGCAGCGAATTCCATATCCTTATTGTTCTTACTGTAAAAAACAAACAAAAAAACCCCCTTTCCTTTGCCTTAACCCCTTAAAGGACCACTCTAGGCACCCAGACCACTTCAGCTTAATGAAGTGGTCTGGGTGCCAGGTCCTTCTAGGGTTAACCCATTTTTTCATAATTATAGCAGTTTCAGAGAAACTGCTATAATTATGAATGGGTTAAGCCTTCCCCCTAATCCTCTAGTGGCTGTCTCATTGACAGCCACTAGAGGCGCTTGCGTGCTTCTCACTGTGAAAATCACAGTGAGAGCACGCCAGCGTCCATAGGAAAGCATTGTAAATGCTTTCCTATGAGACCGGCTGAATGCGCGCGCAGCTCTTGCCGCGCGTGCGCATTCAGCCGGCGGGGCGTAACGGAGGCGGAGAGGAGGAGGAGAGCTCTCCGCCCAGCGCTGGAAAAAGGTAAGTTTTTACCCCTTTCCCCTTCCAGAGCCGGGCGGGAGGGGGACCCTGAGGGTGGGGGCACCCTCAGGGCACTATAGTGCCAGGAAAACGAGTATGTTTTCCTGGCACTATAGTGGTCCTTTAAGGACACATGACATGTGTGACATGTCATGATTCCCTTTTATTCCAGAAGTGTGGTCCTTAAGGGGTTAAACTAAATCTTCTTTCTTCCAGTCTAAACGCGTGACCTAGTTTCCTATGTATAGTCCTGTTTATGAATAGATTTCCACACAATGCTTTGTATTGGCCCCGGATATATTTGTATAATGTTATCATGTCCCCTCTGAAGCGACATTTTTCTAAACTAAAGAGGTTTAAATTTGTAAACCTTTTTTCATAGCTAAAATGTTCCATTCCTTTTATAAATGTTGTTGTAGCCTGCCTCTTCTCCCTTTATCAGGATGTTGCAAGGTGAACAGATTGTTCAACTGCACATGTGTAAATATGTCTGGCATTCCCAGTGCACCTTATTAGCATTCCTAGGGATAGGACACAGGCTACATCAATGGAGTGGTTGTATCAAGCATAAGAAAGAAGAAGCAAGTAGATATGAAAAAATAATCATAGTTTACCTGCTTTACACAAAAATATTGATTGTGTTGGCACTCTATTACTGGGTGGTGCAGGTATTAGAGGTATTCCCCATGAAGACCTCCACAATATATACAAAAATCAATTCATTTAATACCGCACTCGTATGCATAACAATATGCATGAAAAGTGGAAGAAGAATCGCTATTTAAATATGCAAAAAAGGAATAAATTTATTATACACTAGTTTTATGTACAGCTATATACAGTCTATAGATACAGCATATGTGGAGTTTTGAGTTAATAAATGTTCAGATGGATCCACTACTTGATAATTAACTTTAGTTGAAAAAGAAGCAGAAAAAATATATGTACAAAAATGAAAAAATCTGAAAAAAATTCAAAATAGGAAAAATGTAAACAAAGGAAAAAATGGAAAAAAATAAGAAGAAAACTAAGAAACAAGAAAAAATATATTAATAGTAGAACGTTCACTATATAAAAAGTAAAGAGATGGTTGGATCTCACCAGTCAAGGATTTCCACCCTGGGAATTGAGTTACTCAATAGCAGCAAGTTGTCCAGTGGCTGTTAGATGTGTAAAGTATAACCAGTGTCCCTCAGCTTGGAAACCAGCATGTAATCCTAATGCAGTCCAGACTGTATTTGTAGTCTCAAATCTCCTATTGTTGTTGGGCACGTATGACTGCTCGGCTCTTCTCACTTGCGTCGTGCATTGTGTGTGTAACCGCTGGGCTGCGCGCTCGGGACGAGCCTGCTTAGTTTCAACCTGCTTAGTTTCAACCTGCTTTAGTTTCAACCTGTCAAGTGAGGCAACAGTCTTATTCAAAGCTAAAACTTTTGAAAGAGATAGTTGTCTCAAAGTGATCCAGTGTAAGTGCAGCCTTTGATGCAAAGTAAGTACAACATTTTAAAAGAAGGTAACCGAGTCCAGTTTCATATTCGGCTCTGAGATATATGGGATGGTGCTGTGGATACTGTTCACCTGTCATCTCTTGTTACTGTGGGATGTGTGATAATTGTGCGGTTTATTTCTTTTGTTTTTCAGCTGGTGAACAAGGAGCTCATTTGGTATCTCAGCAAATAGGAAATGCTCAACCGTTATCCCCAGGACATTTACCAGAAGCTGGAGTGTCACAGAGCCACCAAGGCTCATAACCATCTAGCAAATCATTATACTTTGTCAGTTAGTGCCAAGATCATGATGGAATGATCATGTCAGAAGTCTGGATCAACCTTTACATTCTTTTCAGAAATGATGTAATCTCAGAAACATGAGAATTGTATTTGATTCTAGTGTTTCTAATCAAGACATCCTTTGAGAAATGCTTCTGAAGAATAAGTACAGACATGATATATAAGGAGAGTTCAGTATTTGATTTCTAAGTTTGAACCCACACAATTGAATTATCCCCTTCCCGACCAATGATGGCATAATTGCATCATGGTTATCCATCCATTAAAAACCTGTGACAAAATAGTTCTGTCATACTGCAAAATTCACTGTGGCCAGCTGTGGGACCTGTGATCGCTGGGTTAATGCTGGGTCATTGTCCACTGGGACAACTAGTCACAACGATGACTGACTGTTCTTTGTAGATGTCTGAACTGCCTCTCTCTTCCTCACACTTTGTTGTGAAGTGGAGAGAAATCCATCAGACTGATACTGTGTATGACTGGTGTGAAAAGTATATTAAAATTGGCAAACACCTTTTCAGTTTCTTTTGAAGAAAATCAACCTTTCCCCTGTCTTGTGATCACTGCCTGCAGCACAGGTACAGATCAGAGTTGTTTAGTGTGTTTGTTTGCTTTTTCACCGTTTTTAGCACTGGAAGTTAAATGTATTATTAATATTATTTTATTATGGTGATTTAGATTATTGGGGTGGGTGGTGAAATTGAGTAGTTTAGTGTTATTAAAAGTTAAAAGAAAACACTTTAATGTTCTCAACTAATTCTTTTTAAGTTCTTCTGTTAAAAAGCTTAATAAGCTTAGTACTGTGCAGGCTTGCAAAATTCTGTCCACTGCATCAGACAGCGTCAAATATTCCCTCTTTCAGAGCAAGTCCTGTCATACATTCTGTCGTGCAGCTGTTCCTGCGGCATTTTTAAGGAGATTGACACCCAGACAAGCCTTTATGCTGATCAAAGTTGTGCCAGAATCCAAATGATTTGATTGGAAGACAAAGGTCATGGTACCCAAGCACTGTACCTGAGCTAAAACCATTCTGTTTAGTTACACTGCTAATGGGCATTATAAAGAAGAATATGATATGTCTTTAGTCTTCTCTAATTCAGAGTACCAAAGAAGCAATCATAAGCCAAAACCACATGAAAAATATAATGTAACTTCAAATTACTAAAAATGCTAAGCAATGATTTAAAAAGTTACATTCCCAAGGATATTCATTTATACAAGTGATATACTCTTGTTCATAATTTGAATTGATTAGCTTCTGATATTTAAAAATAGATGTGGTTTTTGTAGGGTAATTTACATTGATGAACTGCTAAAATAAGACATGGGCCCAGCAAAAAATTAACAATTTTTTTTTTCTTCTAATGTTACTGTTGTCAATTCATATTTTATTAAAGACTGGAGACAAGTTTAAACTTTCCTTTACTAATCCAAAATAATGACAAAACATCACCAAACTAAATGAAAACCAGTATAACTGCTTAGGATGCAATCTGCATAAAACCTTAGCATCCTCTAGACAGAATGTGCCATAGTCTATGAAAGCTATAGTGTGTACGATCCAATCCTCTTTGTCTGCGAGCTCATCCTAGTGAGAAAAAAAAATTGCCCGTTAACTGCATGAACACAAGAAATGTGGATGAAAAATAGAGGAGAAAATTATTCAGGAACACAATGCTACTTCAGAAGAGAAGAATCCATCCACAACTCGAGAGTAACCTGTAGGGAAATATGTAAATTATCGTGGTGGGTCTTAGGGGAAGGGATAATGCTTGCCTGCTGTCTTTAATAAAATTGTGACTTGATATTACAAACGTTAGCAATAACCTGAATTTTATTATAGACATGAGGCTCATATTATGCTTGTTTAAAGCTAAATAACATTACTGAATAATCTGCATACTAATATGGCTATCAGGTGCAAAATAAATGGATTTAAAGGTATAGTCCGATGACCAGCTGCTTTCGATATATTCTCTCTAGATTTGGTGCTCACTCCTCAAGGGCTGTAGCTACAAAAGTTTACAAGGCAGGAGGCAAATAAGATATCGATCACAGGTAAATTCATATTTCTGATCCATCTAGCAAGAGTAGATGAGGCTACAGGTAGATAGCATTTCTTAAAAGGTATTAATACTTGTGGACAATTAGATGGTTTAAGGGTAAATGTCTTCTCATATGCTTTAACACAATGCACTACGCAATAAGTAGGATAAAATAATCTTCACACAATAATCTAGTTAGTTTTACTGACAAAAATGTTAATGATAAATCAAAAGAAACACTTCAAACGCCTAAAGCACTTTAACTTGCTTAAAGGACCACTATAGTGCCAGGAAAACATACTCGGTTTCCTGGCACTATAGTGCCCTGAGGGTGCCCCCACCCTCAGGGTCCCCCTCCCGCCGGGCTCTAGGGGGAGGAAGGGGTTAAACTTACCTCTTTCTCCAGCACCAGGCGGGAGACTTTCCTCCTCCATAACGACGTCATCGGCTGAATGCGCATGCGTGGCAGGAGCCGCGCGCGCATTCAGCCAGTCCATAGGAAAGCATTGTCAATGCTTTCCTATGGACGCTGGCGTCTTCTCACTGTGAAAATCACAGTGAGAAGCGCCTCTAGCGGCTGTCAATGAGACAGCCTCTAGAGGCTGGATTAACCCTATTATAAACATAGCAGTTTTTCTGAAACTGCTATGTTTATAGAAAAAAGCTTTAAACCTAGCTGGACAAGCCTTTATGCTGATCAAAGTTGTGCCAGAATCCAAATGATTTGATTGGAAGACAAAGGTCATGGTACCCAAGCACTGTACCTGAGCTAAAACCATTCTGTTTAGTTACAATGCTAATGCATTATAAAGAAGAATATATGTCTTTAGTCTTCTCTAATTCAGAGTACCAAAGAAGCAATCATAAGCCAAAACCACATGAAAAATATAATGTAACTTCAAATTACTAAAAATGCTAAGCAATGATTTAAAAAGTTACATTCCCAAGGATATTCATTTATACAAGTGATATACTCTTGTTCATAATTTGAATTGATTAGCTTCTGATATTTAAAAATAGATGTGGTTTTTGTAGGGTAATTTACATTGATGAACTGCTAAAATAAGACATGGGCCCAGCAAAAAAAATGAAAGATTTTTTTTTTTTTAAATGTTACTGTTGTCAATTCATATTTTATTAAAGACTGTAGACAAGTTTAAACTTTGGTCTGGGTGCCTATAGTGGTCCTTTAAGTGCTTTATGTCTAAAGAGTGTGTCCTCTATTTTTCATTCAACACAAGTGCAGATTTCAATAGAAATAAGCAGTTTTAAAAAGTTACTTTTTTGCATGACTGTGGCTGCCAATCAGATTGTTACTTCCAAGTCGTGTATTTGAATAAACCCTGCAGTAGCTGTTTAGTGAGAAAGCACATGTTATGTCTCTGACAGCCAGTCACAGCGATCATGTGAGCTACAGGGACTTCTGATCCACCTCCAAGTAAGCAGTGAAGTGGAGAGAGACGGATCAGTAAAAGAAACAAACAAACTGGTTTTCCCTGCAAAAAAGAAAAAATGTGCCTGTTAAAAATCCTAACCCCCTTATCTTTTTCTAATAAAATTTAACCATTTCCCTGCCCTTTAAATTCCTGCCTACAGTGACCAAAACACAGATCACAGTATTTTACTGTCATCTGATTATTTATTTTTAACCCTTGACGGTTAACTTTTATTTCTTTTTTTTACCGTCAGGGGTTAAATGTATTTAATTAGTTATTTAAGTATTTTAAATTATTTAGCTTGTGTGGGTGGAAGTTAGTGGGGAAAATGCTAAATCTAGTGTTAGGCTGATTAGGGGTTAATGTAAAATAAAGTAAACAAAAATAAAAATGCTTATTACCATTACAGTTCGTACATACTAGCGAAAAAATTATCACACTTTACGGCAGAATTTTGAAATACCATGTGATGTCTTCGTTAAGAAATGGTATGCCTGTATGGGGTAGTTTGAATAAGCAACCTGCTAAAATGCTCCAAAATGGCATACAGACCCATTAACACCATCTATGTAAATCCACACTTAAACATCTGAAATTGGGTATATTGTTTTACTCAAGTGATGTATTGGTAAATTGGTAAAACAAAAAGGTAGCAAGTTAAGGCACCATATATGCCATATACAATACCATTTCTTTCTCAAATAAAAGGCCTTTGTGGGTTTATTTGAGCAGTCAAACTGGTATAATACCCCAAAATGAGACATAGGCTCGTCAAATCCATCTATGAAAATTCATAGAAACATAAATAGCCTGGTCTCTTATATAGCATTGTAGCTTCATGGAATAGTGGCAAAGGCATACAATGAGGGTATCGTTTTACTCAGCAGATGTTGCTGAACACAATATGGGGTTTTCTAGAGGAATCGCGTTTATCAGCTTTGCCAAATACACATTCAAAGAACCTTGTTATATGTACCTTTGTCAAAAAAACAGAAAAAAACTCACAATTTTAATACAATATTTAGCAGAGATTGGTGGTGAAATGGCTACGTAAAAAGTGTCAAAATAGCTTGTGATATCTATGGGAAAGTTTAAAAAAAAATACATATTTGTTTGCGTGACAATTTTGTTTTCTCTGATGGCTATCAAATTTACAAGACGAACATACCAACTTTTAAAATTGTTTAACATTGACATTTTATTTTACTCGTATTTTCTGGTCTTTAATTTTCAAAATATAACTGAAATCCTAGACATATTATGTACTCCATAAATCAAGACACACAAATTACTTTATTTTGAATTACTTTACCAAAGCTGGACATAATATTCACGTATTGCAAAAAGTTCACGTATTGGAAAAAATGCAAACATTACTAGTGTCCTTAACTGTAAGTCCAGCTTCTTAAGTTGTTTCCTTAAGGGGTTAAGAAACAGCGCACACACAAAGAAAGTTTTACATTTACAGATAAATTATTTACTTCAGTTAATTCAGCACTAGCACTATTTAATTTGTCTCCCACGTACCTTATTAATTTTATCTACTAAACTGGGTTATGCCAACCCTGGCCCTGATAAGCACCTGGATCCCTAAATGTGAGTGCGGTATCCTCCGTTTGTGAATAACTATAGTGATTAAATTGTCAGAATTAACAATATCAGCCAATCAAATGCTTTCTTATAGGAAAGCATTGGAAGACTAAAACGCCACTCTTCACCAATCAGCATCTTCTCATAGAGATGCATTGAATCAATGCTTCTCTATGGGTAATGTTCAGCGTCTCCATGCAGAGCGTGGAGGCGCTTAACGTCTGACCCAGAAAGCACATCTGGTGGTCATCTGAGTGACTGCCACTTGAGGTGTCCCTCGGCAGTAATGTAAACACTGCTTTTTCTCTAAAAAGGAAGTGTTTACATTAAAATGTCTGTAGGGACAGGCAATAGACACCAGAGAAATGCATGTTTCAGGTGTGCTTCTAATTGCCATTTTTTCTAATGAATAAACCCAGCAGCGACTGTGCAGTGAATAAGCTCTGCCCAGATTAAATAACAGTGCACACACAAACATACAGTTTTGAATTTACCGATTAATCAATTACACCTTTGTTCCATACAAGATTTAAGTTCAAAGCATTCCATTTATTAGAACAAATCAAGGGTTTATATATGCTTGCTAATAGAAACTTCCAGACTAAACGTGGTGTGCATAACTAAATAATAAGAATTCAACATTTTATACAATTGTTTTGCAGAAAAAGGTTATAATGAGGGGTTTTTCCTCTTCTACATCATAATTAGGGGGGTTGTTCTTTTTAGTGCTAGAACATTCAATTGTACTTAACCAACCATATGTTTTTCTTTTAATATCTACAAAGATTACTTAAAGGGACACTATAGTCACCTGAACAACTACAGCTTAATGTAGTTGTTCAGGTGAGATCTATAGCTCCCTGCAGGCAATCTAATGTAAACATTGTATTTTCAGAGAAAATACAGTGTTTACATTGATTGATAGGAATACCTCCAGTGGCCGTCACTCAGTCGGCCACCAGAGGGAATTCCTATCATGTATGGCCCTAAAAAGGTCATGTACACATCAGATGTATTAAAATACGTCTGACGTGTACAGGAGAGAGAAGGCACCGTGTGCGCGCCTTCTCTCTCCTGCCTGTCAGCAGAGGAGAGGGGGCGGGAAAAGACTGCGAGCTGAGCGGTCAGTCAGCTCAGCTTGCGGCTGCGCGCATGCGCGGTAGTGCGCTCAGGACTTCATAGGGTGGCATGAATGCCGCCCTATGAAGTATGTGCACATGTGCAGCGAAGCCGCCCATGCGCACAAGGGAGCAATGATGCTTCTGAATGGAAGCGTCTGATTGCTCCCTGCTCGCGCCCGCCTATTTCGTCATTTTGACTAAATAGGGGGCGCGGCTTCACAAGGCTCCCGGCGCTGGAACAAGGTGAGTAAAAAGGGCTGTCTGGAGTGTCCCTTTAATGCTAAACTGGTCAGGACTGGCTTTAGCTTAGTGAAAGATCACTAAATACATTTTAACTCTTTCAATTCCACCTTTTATTCTGAAAGAATAATTAGACATAAGCATACTAATTGTAAATCTGTAGGAGTCGGTAAGTGAGTTTAAGATCATCAGGATGGGACCGAGAAGGCCAACGCATCTAGGAGGTGGACCGGTTAGGGGTTCTGTATGTAGCCTCTTCCCATAGGCTGGCTCAAACCAACTGTAGGACGTATTGCAACTTGAAAATTGATAGGATGGGCTTAATAGGTAAACAGAAAGGGCTAACCAGACGAGTAGATATTGTGACCTATGTTTGCCCTGTACTTCTGGGGATAGGATAAACCCATATACATACTTGAGGCGGGGAAACCTGGGGAGTTACTGTGAACATGCAGAAGTCTACCCTAGGGCTGGGTGCAGTTTTTGATAATTTTAATAAATTGTGGTTTGGAGCTTGGACAGGTTGTAAAGAGAGATATATGAGATTTCCATTTCTCCTTGGGTCTATGTTTCAGAAGTTGTAGAAATCACAAGGCATACTGTTAGTGAAAGAAAGACAAATGTTAGACAGGGAAATAAAATAGAAAGAGTTGGCAAAAACAACTAGAAAAACATATGGAAGAAATGGACGCTGTGAACAAAAATGGTGATCAGTCATTAAAGGAACTGTATAGGTAAAAAAAAAAATACATATCCTTGTCTCCTCCCCCCTTCCCCCTTCCCCATCAGTAAACCAACTGTGACTAAATGCTTTTTTCCCTAAATAGTGTAAACAAATGTGCTTTAGAAGTACCTTTTTTAATTGTTATGTTGATTAGATTTTCTTCTCCTCCTCTGATCGAAATCTAATGTCCCCTTTTGCTTTCTCCCTCCTTCCTGTATTTCAACTGGACTGCCCACCAATGGCCATGCTCCAGTGATTCTCTATGAGAATCAGTAATGACATGCAATTTACATCACTCAACACATGGCCAAAAAGCCTGCCCGAGAAGTACTCAACCTAGGTCACACAACAAATGCAACATTCAGCCACTAGAGCTTACATACCACATCCCATACACATTTCCTCACCACATCAGGTATCATAGTATTGTTCTGGATCAAACCAAGTGTTTGTTTGAGTATCTGCCATTGTCCAAATTGTTTAAAATAAGGTGCATGCATGCAGAAGTAAATCTCACTGAGACACAGGTTTCAGGTTAATGAAAAACTTCGGAATGTTTACTTGGATTGGCGGCAAGCCCCTTATAAAGCAGAGAATACATCAAATGCAAAATACAAGATAACAGAAAGAATACATCTTCAATTGGTCAAGTGTTAAGTGTCTTATCTAATGCACTTCCTCCAAAGTGTGATGCCACCATCATCTTGGGATTTTACTCCGGATGGAGACGCCATCTTGTTACACAAGGTGTTTAGTCGATGGGAGGGGGTGCTCTAGCAGCCATTTTGAGTAAATTCTGAATACAGGTATTGTTAGTAAATAGACATTTTACCTACATTAAATTCTATGCACAACAGTGTCACATGTTTATTATAAATAAATATAAAGAGACAGACAACCTCATAAATACCTATAGAGCTATATATCTATCTATCTATCCCATTATCGAGGGTTGTTTATTAATAGGGACTGGAGGGGAAGAGGTTAGCAGTGGGTAGTGAGGTTGGCTGACAGGAACTGGCAGGAAAGGGGTTAACAGTGGGTAGTGAGGTTGGCTGACAGGGACTGACTGAGAAGGGGTGAACAGTGAATAGGGAGATTGACTGACAGGGACTGTCAGGGAATTGGTTAACAGTGACTAGGGAGATTGGCTGAGAGGGACTGGCAGGTAAGGGGTTACTAGTGGATATTGGAGATTGGCTGACAGGGACTGGAGGAAAATGTATTACTTGCATTACAGGGAGGGTGGGAGAGGAACACAAATGGGCTCTTGCCTTGTCTCTGTGGTGCAGTCTGTGCTGTGAGCATTCCTTGCATTACAGAGGACATGCCTCTATTTTCATTAGCTTAAAAAGGTACATTTCCTTCAGAGACAGGGAATCAGGAACATGTTAAAATTTGAGGGGGGTAGCTATGATTGATGGGTTACAAGACTGAAACCAGCAAAACATTTTACAACGCCGCAGGAAAACTACGCAGAATTGAAAGAAAAGAAACTAACCACAGGTATTTGAATTTATTAGCTTAAATTTAAGCTTAACTTGTTTAGCTGCCTGGAGTGTCCCTTTAATTAATAAACCACTCTGTCCTAGTGAGTAGATGAAGCTGCATTTTCCTCAGTCTTTCCTTTAGCATTAAGTGAAAACATAGACGGGTAGTGTGTTGAGTTCCATATCAAATGAAGTAGAAATCCATACCAAACAAAGGCAATGTCTACAATAATACCAAACTGAGACCATGTTGCCAGTGACAGTGACATTAGGCCATATTGATGAACTGGATAGTAAACAGTCTGAGCATACCATGTCCACAATGTCTTTGCGTGAGATATCACAGACAGGATGTTTAGCTTCTTCTTGGAGAAGTGTAATGCTGCCAAGTTCCATTTGAGCACTCTGCTTTGAGAGCAAAGGCATGCCACCAAACATTTACCCATTCACAACTATACTGTAAGGCTAAAGGTATAATCAAATTATTATTATG